GAGTTACCAAATCCGAAGAAGCTCTTTGAGAATGCCCTTCGGCCCATTTGATCAAGGCCTGAGCTCAAGCCTTCAATTCAGAGATTCGGCCCTTGCCATGCCATGCATGGGGATTCCACGTTTTGCGGTGCCCTTTCTCGCCCCTTTTTTTGGTTGGGAGATTCGGTTCCCCTACTAAAATAGACTACAGCAAAAAGGGTACCCTTATTCTAACCTCTCTACTGGAGGACCTATGCTGCTTTCGTAGTTTTTGATGCTGTTTCAGAGCTGGCGCCAAAGATTCGGCGCAGGGAATTCGAGCTGACACCCTTGTGGTGTGTGCCCCGCTCAGCCACACATTTGGCACCCAAACCCCAATCACACCCTGGTAGGCTGGTTTGTTGAGACGCACGGTTGCCCTGAACCTCTAAGACCCCAGTAGAAAGTTGGAAGCCGGGTTCCTTTGGTTTCGTTTTAGCGGCTCATGTTCGATGGTGGCAGGATCGAATAGGAGCAACCCTGTTGTCTCTTTACGTCCACAACAGGTCAATTCTACCGTCATGTCCAGGGCTTTTCAGTGAGACACACCGCCTAACAACCGCAAGACGGCAGTTCTCACGTGTCAAATGGCTCCCCGAATTCGGCGCCTTTCAAAGACAGAAAAAACCCGCAAGGCGCCACGTGTTGCGCGTGCTGTTTCCTTCGATGTTGTGCCTTTCACCTTTTGGGAGCAGTGTATTTGCCCAGCCCACAAAACTTGCTGCTATACACCCATCCTCTATCGCTTCGTTTGAGGAATCCCTAGGTTCATTCCCATCAAGAAATTGTTCTCAGCAGGGAATGAGGGAATGACCCCTCTAAACCATCACTTCAGCAACTGGAAGAGCCCTCTTCAGGGCCGATTATCAATTCGCATGAAGCCCTGGCAGGCGTTCCAGGAAAGCAAGCATTTGTTCACTGGAACCCATGGCCACAGAGCGTTTGACAACGTCCCATAGCATCAGAGTGGGTCAGGATCTCCTCTTCAAGCCTGCAGAGCGCTCGGCATGGGCGGGTGGTTGTGTTGTTGTTTTTGTTGGAGTGTTTTCTTTGTTTTCTGGGAGCATTTGTTTGAGTGTTTTGACGGTGTTGTGTGTGTGTGTGTTTTGCTTTTGTTTTTTGTTTTTTCTGGGATCATTTGTTTGACGAGTTTTTTTGAGGTTCGGAATATCAGCCACTGGGAGGTACTGCCCTTGAGCCCATCACTTGGAGGGTGATGGGGCCGTGACCATCAGACGGGCTGAAACTGTCTTGACTTTTGCTGCTTGCGCTTTCTCGGAAGCTGTCTGAATCCCACCCCGCTTGCCCTGCGAACATAATAGCTAGCGGGGTCCCAAATGGAGCTATCTAAGGGAGGTTTGATTGGTTTCTCTTTTATATGCCTGGTCCTTAGGGCCTCCAAGTTTGGTCATGCATGTCTTTTGGAGCTGGTGCCCGTTGAGCAAGCAGCGAGAGCTGGAACCAACGATCTGGAGGCCATTCGGGTCCTTTACGCCACCAAGCTTGGTAACGTCTCTGGAGCTGGTGCTTCTTTGGGGGCACAAGGCATGTCGAGAGCCTAACAAAAGTTGGAGCCTAGAACCAACTCAAAAAATTGGACACAGGGCACAAGCCTGGTGAATGGTTAGTTCCACTTGGATTACGGCACACTTGAAGCCAGAGCAGATAACCAGGATGTTTACCTCTATGCATGACTGCGCAACCCAAGGCGCGGCTGTCTCAGCGGGCACAGCTGCGCTGGGACCTCGATAAACTGAGGGCGCGAAAGGTTGGTGATCTCTACTCGCAGTACCAACGTGCTAAACTTCCGTTTGCTTAGGGTTGTTTTTTTGTGTTCCCCTGTTGGTTTCAAAGGGAAAGGATCTTCCCCTGAGGCCTTCTTTTGGGGTGCAGAAACGAGGGTCCTGCCAACCACCTCTTTCGTGGGCTCTTTGCGACGGAGCTGCGATCGGCTTCCCCTCCAAGTTCGGAAGTGTTCGGGGGGGGGGGGGGGGGTTCCCATGTACCAAGAGCCAGGCTCACAATCCAAGCAACCAGCTCCGGGTGACCTGAGAAGACCACCACTTTCACTGAAGCCACTGTCAATTCGTGTGCATGATAAATCGATTCTGAAACCGTGGTTTCAAGTGACTTTGTACCATGGCCTGCTCTTTTATTCAGGAGCAAGGGAGCCAGTCAAAGCACTGTCAAGAAATAGAGGCAGGTCCCCTTACTTTTGTTTGGGCAAATCGTAGCAACTTCACCACGGGTTTTGGTTTGCGACGTCCATGGAAATTTCGGGACCCGAAATTCCTTGCTTCTGGCGAGTGAAGTCTGGTCCAGATTGGTTTTAGGAGTCCTCAACTGGCGGGATTTTTTTTGAGCACCCTTCAAAGAGGTACCCCGAAAAGAGCGTAAGCGAATCATTCTATGGGGAATGCAGCAGCAAAAGGAACGGATGTCTCAGCATTTCTCAGTTTTGGGGATGCTTTGGGAACGAAAGTGCTTGCGAACAACACCCCCGCCCTTAATTTCCCACATTAGTGCGGGGTATAGCTCGAACCGCAAAGTGGATTCATTCGGCGAACGGTTTCGACCAAGCGATGTGCAAGCCATTTTCCGAAAGCGGGAAGCGGGCAAACCCATGATCTCGGCAAAGAGGCCTTGTTTTGGCAGGTGGCTTTGTCTTTTTTGGTTTTCCTTTAAGCCAACCCCAGAATGGACACCCTCAAAAAGACAAGCCCAAGTGCAGTGGTGCAGGACATGGCGAATTGCAAGCAAACGGCCAATACCTGGGATACTCCACGTGAGTCAGGAAGCTCGCCAGTCGAGTGTGGCGGTTTTCGAGGGTCTCCCTTGTTTGGTGGTTATAAATGGAAACCAGGAGGAACACAAAAACGATTTTGGACTCACTTGCCCAAAGCGAATCTCCCTTTAGACCCTGTGGTTTTCTTTTTTTTTCCACAATTCGAGGTTCCGAAAGGTGATCACCTGTTCGCTCCGAATCCAAGTACTTTCCCAGGCGAGTATGCCGCGATGGCCGCGCCGACCAGTTTGGAGTCTGAGCAAAGTGGCTTGGTCAAACAGTCCTAGATCTCAGACCATTTAATCATCACTTTCTTTGCCACTGTTCCTCTTGGTGGGGTAAATACTGTGGATGGACGAAATCATGTCCTTTCAGAAACCCTGGTTTCGGATCCAATTCCCCAAAGATTATGGTTTCAAGCATGCATCCATTTCGTGCGAAAATTCGCAAACATTCAGTATGGGAGCGTGTCAAAATCGGGGGCAAGCCCAAAATTGGTGGTGTTCAACCTTTGGTTTTTGCCTTTCGCCCTCCCCAAAAACCGGCGCCCAAGTCGAGACACCCTTTCATATGGCTGGCTCGTCCTTGTTTTTGGAAGTCGGACCGCCCAAAATGGCTTCGGGGTCCTTTTTGGTGTTCCCTCAAACCCATGCCCATAGTTCGGGAGCCTGCAAAGCATTCGCCCAATTGCTGTCAGTTTGTTTTTGGGAGGATTCGGGGAATCGCACCACCCGGTTTGTCTTGGACAAGAGGAAGCGGCCTGTTTTTCATGAATCCGCAACAAAGTACTGTGGATGGTTGCGAAATCCGTTCGCTCCACGTTCGTCAAACAGGGGTCCTAGATGAAAGCACACCCTTTTTTGCCATGGGCAGCTCCAGCTGGGTCTTGGCCAAAAGGAGCGGCCCCGGTCAGCGGCCAAGAGGTGAGTGACCCACAGGTCCCTTGCGCTTACTACCCTCCCACTTCAGACCATGGGCCTTGCCCTTTGCAGGAAACAGGCGGTCGGAGGATGGTCACGCGCCGCAGGCGCAGCGACGGCGCAGCGACAGCGCAACAGCTGGACAGCTTGGAACGACAGCGTTGGGCCATTCGGCGTCTCGCTGGCAGCACTACTCTGGTTTGGGCAGCTGTTCAGCCATGTGAATGACAACGGCAGGCACAATTGGCCAACATATCTTGTGGGAGGACAAATCGAGGAATCGCACCACCCGTATTTTCTTGAACTAACGAAGGGGACTTTGCGCACGAATCCGCAGCGAAGAGGTATTGTCCGTTGCTCTCAAGCCTGGACTGACCCGTGAAACAGTGACAGGTTGTTTGTCAGTTCGGGTAGGTGATGCCTGGAAGCCGCAAACAACATGCTGCACAACAAGCGCCAAAAGAATTTATGACATGTGCCATGGTCAAAACACCTGTACTTAGGATTGGTAGGGTAATGGTCATCAACCCTTACCGGAATCGAGACAAATTGTAGATCCATTCACATAGGTTTGACCGTACATATATTCTTTCTTGAAGCTGCCACAGGCCGCTTGAAGTTGCAGCCATGGACCGCGTGGGCCATGACTGTGTCCCTTTTGAGGCCCTCCAATCTAAAGGAGTCAGCCAAAGGCCAAAGAACATCTGCAAGTTGGCCGTTGGAAGTTTTGACTTTTTTGTGGTGTCCGAGAACCCTGGTTTTCAGGTATTTCCATATTGGTTTGGTTAGTGGTTCTGGGGTAAAGGGGAAGCTAAACTAATCCAAACCTGGTTAGTAGTTTGGGAATTTGAAATTGTGGTTCTGGGGTAAAGGGGAAGCTAAACTAATCCAAACTTGGCTAGTAGTTTGGGAATTTGAATTATGTGGTTCTGGGGTAAAGGGGAATCTCAACTAATCCAAACCTGGTTAGTAGCTTGGGGATTTGTAATTGTGGTTCTGGGGTAAAGGGGAAGCTAAACTAATCCAAACCTGATTAGTAGTTTGGGGATTTGAAATTGTGGTTCTGGGGTAAAGGGGAAGCTAAACTAATCCAAACCTGGTTAGTCGCTTGGGCATTTGGAATTGTGGTTCTGGGGTAAAGGGGAAGCTAAACTAATCCAAACCACCTAGGAAGCTGAACATTTACCACCAATTCGGCTCCACCAAGGTTCTAGAGGGCAAAAGGGGACGCGAATTCGGCGCGCCAAGCTGCCAAGAAGGGAGTTGGCCTGGGCCAGGTCTTGGTGGAGACCCCCGGCCTGCGCTACATGCTGGAGAGAGGCGACATCGGCGAGTCGAGGTCTTTTTTTTGGGGGGGGACTGGCCCAAAAAGTGGGGGGTGGGAACTACCCCATTTTGAGGGTTTGGAGAATGGTCAGGTGCTTTGGGTGAGGCGTGAAAAGGTACGGCGCCGTTTGTGAAAGAAGCTGCGTAGAAGCGCGAATTGATATGTGTGCCTGTGAAAGTGACAGGGGCCGTGTGCATTGGAGGGCAGCATTTGTGAGCCGGTACACGTTTTGCAGTCAGCTCTGGCAGACAAAATGATTGGCCCTTCGCTAGACCCGCTCAACGGCGAAAATGACACCATCGCAAAAACGGGCCCTATCTGCGATTCTCTCCCCAATGGGATTGTTTCATAGGGAACCCTCAAAATGCACTGTTTGCACGGGGCTTTTCTTGAAACTCAGGCCCGAAAAAGATTTCCCGAGCCAACTCTTGTTGTTGTTGTTTTATTTATTTTTTTCTGGAGAAAAAACCTTGTCCGTGACTCACATGATACAGCTGCCTGAAACAATACATGATCATGGCCACTCCAACGAGTCTTTTTCCCGTATCCAACAAGCCTTGCCTTGGACGAAATTATTCGGTAGCTTTGGTAGACATCATTTCCGGGGGGACTGTCCACCAACCAGGTTGGAGGTGGTGGGTGATGGAAAATGAGAGCCATTTCTGCCTGTGTCCTTGCCCAGGCGTGGGCAATCACCTGCCGCGGGGACGCTGCGCCGAGGGGATTTGCGAGCGTGGTGCCCAAGCCTTTTGCTTTGAGATTCGACACCAACAAATTTTGGAGTGGGGGGGAGGGGGTATGGCTCGAAGACATGTTCTTAAGATTCAAACCTTTCTTACCCCCGCCTTGTTTGCTCAAGATAGCCTAAGAAGTCTTCACGAGGGTCTCATTAGGGTCCTAAGATTGAGGAATCCTGGGGAGGAGCGGACTTGGATCCTGTGACATGTGCGTTCAATGGGAGCCGTGGTGTTTGGAATTGCAAAGTGACGGGGGTCGCATGCTTGGGCAACATGCGCTTAAACAACCAGATGCCCACCGTTAAAAAGGGAACCCAAAGGAGCTCGATTGAACAATAGGTGTTTCAACATGTTTGGCACGGGCTTGGCCTAACCCTGGTTAAAGATGGTGCATTCACAAAAATGAGGTGTGGTTGTTGATTCTTTTGGCAGTCTCGGAAATGCGAATCGACTAATCACAATGCCTGCCCAGGCAATCGAACCCACAATGGTGGTTTCCTGTCGCTGTAAAACCGCCAAAACAAGGGGCACCCTCAAAAAAGACACACCCATATAGAAGCATATAGAAGAGGTGTTTACCAAAAATGGTGCCCTGTTCTCTCCCGTGGCTGCTGGAGGTTTGCAGGTCCTAAATAGCAACCGTACTTAGTGAATGGGTTTGCCCGAAAGCAAGCCACAAGCAATGGGTATGTTCAACCCAAATTGACATCTAGGAAGCTGTCTTTTTTCCTGTAGATTCCCTGATGCCGTCGCACTTTGTGATGGCTTCCGTAAGCATTGGGAGCCCGATCACTTGTGCCGCGCGCTTGATTCCGTCCTGGTAGGCATGTTCAACAAAAAATGTAGGATCACCACACTCTTTCATATAGCTCTCTTTGTTTAGTCTTTGGTTGGTTCGGATTGCGGTTTTTCCTCACAAAGGTTTCGGTTTTGCCACCAATGGTATGAACCTTCCTTTCGCGAGCGCCCCGTATGTGTTGGCTGGTGAAGTATCCTACACCCACTTAGATGCTTCGGAAGTTAGCTAAGCGTCAGTACTCCCAGCCAACCAAAGATATTCCCATCAATCGCCCCAACCCTTGTATCTAGACTTCACCGTGTGGCTAACTCCCCTCCATTTCCCGCATTCGTGGGGCCGTTTTGCTGAGGGTCTTTTCTTTTTGGGGGGGATCACTACCTGGAGTCTCCTGCTGACCCTTTAAAAATGGGGTTGCCCAAAAAGAAAGAAAGAAAGAAAGAAAGAAAGAAAGAAAGACAGGGTGACCCAATTGTTGGGTCAAATGGGTTGCCCACAAAGGGATCATGACCCATTTCTTTACAGGTCAGCCGCCAACTACCCCATCGTTCGCCGATTTTTCAGGTGCTTGCCGCCCTTCCGTGGCCCCAGCTGCCAGCTGGAGGATCAGGGAACTCGCGAAGGGATGCTGAAGGCGGCCATGCACTACATCACCGCGGAGACGGCGGGGGGGCCCAAGGGAAAGCGAAAAAGGTGTCGGCGTTGGCCCACGGTCCGTGAGGGTTGCTCAAAATGTAAAAAGAAAAAAACGGCTTGGTGTCCAAAAGGGAAATCAAGAGGAAACGAACCATGCTGGAGACCCACCATTTGCAGACTCTTACTTCCTAAACATAAAAGATAAGAAAAAATGGGCCAAAAGCTGAAGATATCTTTCAGGGGGTTCAATAAGTGCCAAACATGTGTTTTTTCTTGTTGTTTCTTTTTGTCGCCTTTTGTGCCTTTGATTGATTTACAGGTACCCCGGGTTCCCCAGTAAGGCTCCAGATCCTCACCCCGTTCCCAGGTCTGAGGAGCTTCTTTGTTTTATTCGAAGTCTGGGTGCTTAAAGCGGGGGAGGGAAAATTAAATTGCATCCCCTGTAGGAAAATTCAAAGTTCTGTCTCTACTTTGCACCTGGTTTGATTTGAAGATCGATTAGTCACGTTCTCCGGGTTCCCTGTGTTTCCCTCTTTGGTCTTGACATTTGAACATCGCTCGCCTTTTGGGCCAACCTGGCTTCTGTTCAAAGGGGCATCGACCCTCTGAAAGCTGTCAGCTTGCTTGCACGGCAACGTTGAGGCTTTTACTTGAGGTGGAAGCATAGGGGTCACTTCTTATTGACCTGTACCTACGCATAGTAATATATTTGTAACTGTATGTATACGCACCACATGTCCAATATTATAAGCATATATGCGTGCAACCGCGCCTTCCATGAGCAGGCGTAACTTCTCTGAGCCCAGCGGGTCACTCTGAGGAGCGGGACTTGCTGGACATCGAGCGCTCGCTGAAGAGCCTTTGGATGGCCTTCAACTCTGGCTGAAGCCTCGGAGGGCGAGTCGAGTCGGCAAAAGGCGGTGAATCCCTATGAATCAGAGCCCACTCGCAAGGGGAGCCATTCAGCCGAGTGCATTGGATCTTTGGGCTTCAACTTTCAAGCAGTGGATTTTCCCATTGAACCCACAAAATTAAACTTTTTGCACAGGGATCAACAACCAAGATTAGTAATGACTAACAGTCATTATACCTTGGGTGTTCGATTCGCCAAATTGGTACGTTGTTGGTAACCTAGCTGATAACCCACTCGCAAGTCCCCCGTTCAGTGCGTCAACCTTAGGGGGTGAAAAACCAACCAAAATGGCGTTCCCCAGTATCAAAGATCCAAGAGGCCATGAAGGACCATCGGCCACCCTCCTTGCCTCGCTGTTGTTTCAGGCGCTAAAGGGAAGCCAAAGCCAAAACCCAAGCCAATTTTGGCGGGTCCGCCCAGTTGCTGGTTCATTTTCCAGGTTGGCTTGAAGAAGTGTTCAACACTGATGCCCGCTTTCCAACAAACATACATAATGTTGTTATTGGCAAAAAAGGATGTCACATGTATATAATTACCCACATGTACATATGTGTTTGTCGCGTTTGTCAATGCTGGTTTGAGAGGAAGCCGGTCGTGCACGGTCCGCCAAAGGTGGAGCAGCGAGAAAGATGCTTCGCTTCCTGTTCGCGGGCGACCATGCAGCACGTCTTCGCGGACGTGCACAAGCTGGAGTCAACACAAGACAGCCATGCCAAGCAGCTTGGACATGGCTAGACTTGCTCTCCGCTGCTGATGGCCACTGGTGATACATGCTTGCTTCACGCTTGTGTATGCGTTGGATCGGACGAAGCTGGCTTCAACAGCACTTCTGGCAACATGGCTCTGGCATCAGGAGAACTTCTCGACGAAGAGCCAAGAGCTCGCAAGAAGCCTCACTAGCTACATCTTGCACAGTGTGACTAGGGTCCAGAAGCGTCACCACATTGGACGGCTCGTAATCTGCCCAAGAATCACATGGTGAGTTTCTGTTGGCACCGACAACTGGAAGGTGCAAAAAAGCATTTGCCCAGACAATCTGCGTGGCGTGCCCTTGCCCGCAGCATCCAAGCGCCCCTGCCCCTGCAGGTAAGGGAAAAGCATGGTTTTCTGGTGCTTGCATTACTGTGGGTCGTGAGCAGTAATTAACTTTAGTATTGGCCTAATTCAAATTTATTGTTGGCAAATGTTTGGGATCCCCGAAATGATTTCTTTAATTGTGGGAGGCAGTTTTAATCAAAAGCTGCGATTAAAAATCCTCGCCCGCTTTTGTTGTAATATCCGCAATTGCAGCCAGGCCGATATCCTTCGGTGGGGTGTAGGCATCGCCAAGGCAACTCGAAGTTTGAGGTTCCCCGGTATGGTGGGGCTCAAAACTCAGTCAAACGTAACCAAAGGAGAGTCTCTCAGTCCTTCCGGGGAAACACGATTGGGAAAGCTGGGCCCGTTGAATGCTGAACCCATCTTTCACGAGAAAGAAAACTGCTGAGGGGCAATAGCTTGAGCTTTCAAAAGAAGCCACAAGGGGATAGGCAGTTGTATGAGTGTAGGTGTGTGTGTGTGTGTCTGTTTGTGTCTCTGTGTCTTTTTGCGTCTTTGTGTGTGCATGTCCTCCTTTACAAGCCATGTCCTCAAGCCATGGGGTTAGGCAAACCTGGTCCCTAGATCTGACTCAACTTGTTTGAGAAGGGGTGTTGAGCGCTGGAATGATCAACCTGGGGCGGGGGAGCAGGGGGCGTTGTCAAGATGTGTCCAAGGGTTCCCTGCCTTATCCCTGCAAAAAGCACCAGCCAGTTTGGAGCGCGATACCCCCTACTCCAAATACTAGTACCCGTTGTTTTTAGTTGGGATGTTTGGGAAGACCTTGGTTTTGCAGGGAAAATACCAATCCCTCGTTTAGTCAACGTCATACACTACCACACCCCAAGAATAAGACGGGTACTGGGTGATTACGGGGGTGAGTCGACCCGAAGGACCGCGAAACGGCCATGGGGAAGTCAAGCTAAGAAAGGATTGTTTTTTTCGGTTCGGCTAAAAGCCACGAGGGTGTGTTCACATTCGAACCTTGAGGCTACATTTTTTCGTTGAGGTTTGTTTGCATTTGGGGCCCGATGTTGAAGACACCCCTAGCACGCCTCGCTTTGTCGAAACGTGAGGCCCTGACTATCCCGTGGTGGTTTTCCACGAAGGGCTGACACAGAAGGCTCGCACTTGGACTTGGGTCAGCAGGGTGAAGGGCTGCTTGCTACGGTTTGCTGGCTGAAAGCGACAAGCAATCCAATGCATGGTCTTCAATAACAGCGCAAAAGTCCGCTTGTGGGCCCCCTAACCCCCCGGCCCGGGGAGTATAACCACCTGTGTTTTGGGGTAATTAGTGCCCAGTCCAGCCGTGTGCTTTAGGTACTTCCGGAGCAGTCCTTGCCCATGGTGCTGTAGGTTCACCTGCGGCATTCGCTTTCCCCGCCTGATCAACTTGTTTTGACTGGCAAATCAAATGCTCCAATGGTCCGGCTTCCAATTGTCGTTTGCGTTGTGATGGAAACTCAAAGAGCAGCTTGGACGTTTAGATCCAGTTTTGAGCCATGTTGGTAGGGGCCAAAGAAATGCACACGTGATTCTCCTCTGATCATTGTTGAGCCCCTGGGTTGAGAGCAGATGGTTCGCAACTTCTTGGATGGTGTGAGTTGGCTGATCGGGTAGTGACCCCCGACCAACGGCGACCTCCCTGTCGACCCTGCCAGCCCTTGTAACCAGGGCTTACCGTTCTGACTCCAAAACTATCCAACTATCTCCAACTCCCCCCCCAGCATCGCCAGCAACACCCCAGCATCACCAGCAAATTGGGGTGGCTCTTTTCGCCTCCTTGCCCCCCTACTAAAATAGACTACAGAAAAAAAGTTGGTACCCTTCTTCTACCCTCTCTACTGGACCTAGCAACTATCTCCGACTCCATTCCGCCCGCTTCTTTCTCTCGCGGAAGTTTCCCTTGGGGCATCCCAAGTCGCAGGCGCGGCGCCGCATCGCGGCGGCCTCGGAGAACCGGATCTGGTTCGCCCTGCTGCCGCGCCCGGGGGCCCGAGGAGGGCGCGCCTTCGCCCGGGGCGCGCTTCCGGCGAGGCGAGCGGCCGGGCTTCTTTTTTTTGCGCGGCGGCGTGGCGTGCGCGGTCGGACTTTGAGGGGGGCGGAAGTTGGGGAAGGGAAGTTCGGAGAAGTTGGGGGGGGAGTTTGGGGGGTTGGGGTCTCAGAAAGCACCCACACCCATGCTAGATTTCAAGATTCGAACTGTGAAAGCGACGGAGATATGAGTGTACTCTGGGGTCGGTTCGGCCCAGATGCCTTTCGGAGCCAGAGCCAATGTCAGCCCCTAGCCGCAGGTTGCGGATGTCATCGGCGTTGGCGCCGATTCAGATTGAAACTAGGAAGCTGTTGCTTGGATCTGTGTCAACATTTCTGGACTGCAGACGACCATTTAAGTGGTAACTACTAGGTGCGCGGCTTGTAGATGGCCGTGGTGTTTTCAGCCAACGACACGATCCCGGCCCTCCGCCAACGCTCCGCGCCTGCCTGTGTTTTGACCGCAAGCTGCGCGAAGGTGTTTGAAAGAGCTTGACCGAGGGCTTGGAAAAACTACTATAATAATTCAGGATTCAGTCACCCAAAAATAGGCCATAAGATGTTTGTGTTGTTCAAGCAGAGGTGTTGCAAGCATCGCCGCGATCTTGCATCAAACAGATACAAACAAAGAGTGGGTGGCTCAAAACAGCTTCTGGAGCTGCAGCAAAAGCTGTTCAGGCGTCTTCGCGCCCAAACTCTTGCGATACATGAATTGGTTGACCAGAGCTCTCAGGTCATCATGTTCACTGGACAATTCCCCATGGCCAACTTTCCGGGGGAAAGTTCGCGGCACCCACATCTTGAGAGATCTCCACAGGCGGTCTACCACCTGCGTGCCTGCAATTGCAGACACTTGCGCGGGCCGGCTTCTGGATGGACCCTGGCGCTTTGTCCACTGCTTGTTCTGATGGTTCACCCATGCCGCTTTCAAGGAGCGTGCTTTGGCCTCTGATCGCCAGGACATATTGCCATCGCTGAAAACAACGGACCCCTTCCGTTGAACATGCTGCAAGAGCTTGCTCTCGCGAATCTCAGACAGAGATTCTGTGGGAGGCCTGCTTCCTGGAATTGTGACCCTTGGCGTGCCCATCGACAAAATCGCAGGACCTGCGCGTTGGACTGCGGCAAGCACTTGCACATGCACACAGAAAGCTTTCGGCATTGGGTTGCCAGCTTTGTGAATCTTGATCTTCAGGGCCTTGATCTGCGCGGCAAAGCGTTTGCACTGATGAGCAACAAAGAACTTTCCTAGGCTGCTGCCGTCAACCTCCACGTTCTTGGAAAGCACCACCTTCTGCCGCCATGCTTTGCCAGCCTCCGCCTCCATCTGCCGCAAGCAAGCAATGAAATGGCTGGCCTGTGTCCTTCCCACACCTGTGGCCTGGATGAGGTCCGTGACGGATGGTGCCCGTGACTGGTCAAGCTTGACATAAGCTTGCAGCAACGAAGTCAACCCCAAAGCTGAAGTCCGAAGGCCTGCCCACTTGGAGCACGAGAAGAGCACGAAGCGATTCCCGCAGCGGTGGCCCTTGCATCTCCAGTGTGGCGTGCGTGCGGTGCATGATGTGAAGTCATAGAACTTCTTGGAGCCGCACCCGCAACGTTTGGGACGTTGAATGAACCCTTGCTTCAACAGCCACTTGGTTGCTGCAGCCTCATTGGCAAGAGGACGAAGCAAAAAGCCAGCAGGCTTCCGGCGCCGAAGCACAGCAGGCGTCTGACGCCTCTTCTTCTGGCCAGAGTACGCCAGCGATGCCTTCTGCAAGTGAGTCCGTCGCCTGTCCTGCACACTCTTCCGCTGCTTGCGCTCCACGCGAGCCACCTGCTTGACTTGCTTCGGCGACTTGCCTTCGAGCTCTGCAAGCTTCCTCTTCAGTGTTGCTATCTTTGCAGCTCCTGGATACCGGCATCCCTCCAGCCGATGTCCTTCCCTTCCACACACACACACCGCAACGGTGCTTATGCCCTGCATGCGCCCGCTTGGATGGCATTGTGACCTAGTCGCTAAAGCTCGAGCCAAAGCCTTCACGCTCACACCGCAACCTGTCAAATCAAGGTGTCTCATGCAAATTGTCTGAAGCAAATTGTCTTTGGCGAATTGTCTCAATCAAACTGTCCATGCTGTCAATGGCAAGCTGAAACAGCTTGATTTTTTCATCCGACAATGCAGCTGTCAGCCATCCGCATATGTAAGGACGCCTGCGTGGCACATCCACTCCTTTGCCAAGCTAGCAATCTCTTCCACAGGCCAACTGATCCATGGCTGCAGAAGTCTAACAAAGCCATCATCCGGCGCCAACTCGATGGCATTCAGTGATGCCCAGCTCTCCAGCTGCTCGTCAGTGAACTCCTGGTTGTATGGCGAAACTTCGTACAGCTCTGCCCAAGAAACCCATGGATACCTCTGGAGACCTGCACTGAGCGCACTGACTGCTTCCATGATAACAGACAGAGGACAAGCACCGTCTTTGCGAGACATCTGCGACAAATCCATCTCCAACCTCTTGCAGAAATTTGGAGTGACACAAGCAGATGACGAGGAAGTCAAGCTAAGCTGGGTCTGCTTGGTTCTGTCGGGCGGAAATCTCGGCTGCACCACTTTCGGGAAATAGTATGTTCTGTTTGCATCTAAAGCCAAGGCAGCATCGATTTGCTTTGTCCAAGCAGCCGCCTTGTCAGCGCAGCCAATCTGCAGCCAGTAGTCCCTCTCCTGCCTTGCAAGCACAACCATTGCCTGCCAGGCCCTGCTCTTCAGCCCATGTTGCGTCTTGGCTGCAGTAGTCAATGAAGCCGCCGCCATGACGGCGATGCAAAAAGAGCTCAAGCCCTGCGCAGAAAGGAAGCTGCGTGGCATACACACGAAAGGTCCAATCCGATCTGCGATTGGCCGAAGATGCCACCGCACAGGCAAGTCCTGCGCAACGCAAGAAGTCAAAGGGTGTCAACATCTAGCAAAGAGTGCATATTTTCCCTCCTTTAAGAGTGACAGAACAAGCAAGAAGTCAACGAAATGAACAAAGCAAAACGTCCTTGGCGCCAGCATCTGCGGCTGCCTTGGCAGCAACAGAAAAGGCTTGAAAAGCCGGCAGCTCTGGAATGCCAGCAACATCGGGGACACTGCCATCACGCCCGTGTAGCTGGATCACAGGCTTGGATCGAGCTGGACTGGTCAAGTCAATGGTGTCCTGGTAATCTCGGATGTGATAACAGCTTGACCCCGCGGAATGGCACTGACGTGGAGGGGTTCGAGAACGAGATCTCATGGCTGCCGCTTGATCTGCGCAGCTAGAAAGAAACAGGTGTGCCATGACACTGTCAACACCGCCGCTATCACTTGCCCCCCCCCCCAAAAAAAAAAAGGAGACCCCCCCCCCTCTCCCCCGGAACACCGTCCAACTCATGCCGACGTCCGCTGCAAGAGCAAAAATCGACAAAAATAGGTGTTCGTTACACGGCCATCTATGAGCCACGTTCCAACTACAAAGTTCCTGGACTTTTCTTTGGCCAATGCACTCAGAAAGTGACAAAGGATATTTACCGCACTGAAATACGAACTCGTATAAAGCTGTTCAACCCCAAGCTGAGTTTCATTGGCCTTGTGCTGAGTCGCCCAAGGTTTCAAGGAGATCCCAGAGCAGTGGGCAGAGGCAAGGCATGTGAGTCGCTGCTCGCGGGTTTTCTTGAGCTGTACGTTTTTTCTGCTTGGTGGGTTCGGGACCCACTCAAAATGGTGAAGCGCAAAGCCAAATAATTCTTGATTTCTGCCTGGGTCACTGGGCGTGTTTGATCCACCATTCATCTCAACCATTGTTGAAAACCAGGGATTTCCGTGCAAATAAGGAATTCGAATTGTTCCTACAGTATTCACTATTGTAGACTTGGGATTTCCCTCAGCAAGTCGCTTGTTCTTTGTTTTCTGGATTGAATCGCCCACACAGAGCATCCTCGAAAGCAGACATCCCCATGTCAATCTTCTTCATCCCCCAATTCTCTATGGGTTGATTCCACGGTTTGTCAACCATGTTATTTTCCAACAAGCTGGTATGTTGGTTTCAACCTATTTCGTCAGATTATGCATTACCGCCAACAGCATGGATGAAAACGAGGTAGGAACAACTCCAAAACGAGGTAGGGCCATGACATACAGGTGTTTGAGATCACAAACGCATGCGGCGCGGGAAAGCGAGGTCAATGAGGCCAAACGGGTGCAAGGGTTGGAGAACAAGGTGGGAGCTCCCGTCCGTTCATTCATGCGACAGTCTCCTTGCCAGAAATCGGCGTGGCAAGTTTCCGCCCGTCTTTGATTCTTCAGGTAGACCCGGCTTGATACTGCGCGCCCATGGACTTCAAACTTTGGACGTGGTTTGGCCCATCAGCTCGGGAGTTCTTGATCAGTTTAGTCAGGGTGCAAGCTCTTCTTGTCTTTGGCCAGTCAACCAGTCGCAGGTGAGGCCTGTCTGACTTTGAGAATGCCCATTCCTTTGGAGGTGGTTAATCAAGCACCAGAAACTGGGGGGCGGGGATTCTCCAAGACTAAGTGGGTATGGGTCAAAATTTCACCAGAAGGGGACCACAGGTTTTAGTCCTTGGTTCCATTTAGCAGGGTTCCATTTTGGGGACCAATTTCTGACCCACAGCCAAGTCATTCTGGTTTAGAAACTACTCGACATCTGAGCATATGAATTTCAATAATTTCTGCGTCGTGGGCCAAGGCCAAAGTTGGAGCAAGAAATCCAACACGAAAACCACCAACAAGACTTCTGTTGTCTTGCTGGCTCTCAGGTAGGGAATGACCGAGCCCGGGTGTTGGCAATGAACTAGGAGGGGATTTTAAAATGCAATCCATACTTGGTTGACGTTGGAAGGGGAGCAAAAGTCTAAATTTTAGCAGTTAAGTGGGGATTTCTCACTAAACCCCAACAAGCAACAATGTAAAATGTTCCCAACAACCATGCAGAGGGATGGTTTAGAGTGGTCGTTCCCGTATTCCCTCATTCCTCGCTATCAGCCGATCGCAAGAAACCCCGGTTCAAATCCGAATCCAAACCCCCGGGCGAAGCTGAAAACTGGGGAGCAACCGGAGGGTTGGGTTGAAAGCTGTTCAAAACTTGGTGGCTCCATCCCCTGGGCCTCTTAGCCTTTTAGCTTCGTAGCCTTTTAGCTTCGGCAGTTTCCATTCAACCCACAAGTTTTAACTTTTTAGCGGGGGATCTGAGGGCAGCCCAGAGAAGAGAGCAAACAGCTGTTGACCAATCCAACGTTGGGAAGCTGAAAATCCTTCGCCTGAATTTGGATCAACCGGCAGGCGTCTTCGCAACGCGCTGCGGACTTCTCGGTGGGCTACCGCGCCATGACGCCCGATGGCCCGGTTCGGTTGGTTATTAGCTTGCTGCGATAGGTGAAATGATTACTTGTTTATTTCCCCCTGTTCTTCTGTGTACCCCCTTTTTGTGAGCTAAGTTTTCGGGATTTCTCCGATGCGTTGGTTGCATGCTTGTCTACAAGGGGCGAACAGAAGACATGTGGTTTGGGGAATTTGTGTGTGTGTGTGTGTTCCCCACTAGCCGAAGGAGCACACAAGGGGATGGGCGTTGTGTTTCTCTTGTTCTCGAACCCCTATTTGGCACCCAGCTATCTTGAGGAGAATCATTCTGAAAGGAAATTGTATGTGTGTGTGTGTGTGGTGTTGGGGCTGTGTGGGTGTGGGTGTGGGGTGGGGTGGGGTGGGGTGGGGTGCAGTGTGTGTGTGTGTGTGGTGCCCTTCTGAAGCCCAAACAGGCTCCAACATCGGCCCCCATGTCTGCCATGATTGGGCCATGCTTGGAAACATGTTGGGGCGTTGCCCTTTATGATCATCATTAAGTTCCTAGATTCAGGATCTCGCGTTGACAAAGTTGAGTTGGTGGATATGTGTCGTCATGCCAGGTGGTTTCTTGGAGTTTCTTTGTCGCCAAGCCCATTAGGCCTGAAAAAGCCCTCGACCTTTCTGCCAAAGGCCCCCATGGGAGATACAAGAAACGAAACGTTCGGAATGCTTATCTCTATGCTCACTGACGGTCCATTCCTGAAGTTTGTCAGATCTGCTGCTCACCAGTCGTTTTCCCCCCCCCCCCCGGCGATTTCCATGATGGCGTAGGGCTTTCTGAAGCTTGGCGACGCAGTCCTCTAGTGGTTGTTTGCTTCTGTTGGGCTTGCTTTCCTTCAGCCACCAGCCAGGATCAGAAGTCCGATGTGGTTTTCCTCACCACTAGATGCGGTGGCGGGTGGAATGTTTGCCCCTTGGTTCGAAGCCTACAATTGCTACAGGGCAAACATGTTTTCTTTGTTCAGAAGGAGTGGGCCCCACCAAAACCAGAATCAGCTAGCCCAAAATGAGTACAGTTCCCTTTTTCTACCATTGTCACTGTTTGCAGGGGTCGGATCTGTAAAAGGCCTTTCCGGTGCTTTGAATCCTTTTTGGCCGATTTAGGGTGAGTTGACTTTAAGTTGGGTTGATCTTACAGGCTAAATTTGTGTGTCAATTGGCTACCCCAAAACAGGTGGCGGTCCGTTCTTTCTTTCCTTTCAAACCAACCAGAACACGGTACCGCTGATCAAAAAGACAGGCCCAAGACGTAAGAAGCTCACTCCCAGAGTTCCTGGGTTTTCCGGACGACCATTTAACTGGTAAAGACCAAGTTCCTGGACTTTTTGCTACTCAGGAAGTGATCAGCTTCCCTCTCATTGGTTGGAAGTTTGGTGGTTTAAGAGAGGTTTCACATTGTACTCTCTACAAGAAGGGGAGATTCAAATCCCAAGCCACAAGTGCAAACCAACCTGACGGGTTACCTGATTGTTTGTTTATGTTGATTTGTTTGTGTGTTTGTTTTATGTATTTCTTTGTTTATTGATTTATTTGTTGAGTTTCTGAATTGTGTGTTTATTTATTTGTTTATTTATTTATGTATTTCTTGATATACGTATATATATATATATATATACACATATGTGGGTGTGTGTTTTCTGCCCACTGGCCCCGTCTCGCGCTCTCGAGACGCGGGTAGGCGCTGGCGCTCTGGGCCCGTGTTCCTGGAGCCTGCGCTGGCAGGCCGTTTGGGTTGGGGAGGTGGCAAAGGGCGCGGGTGAGGGGCGGTTACTTGGAGCTCGATTCGAGTGGGTAAGTGGTGATCGCCACCTGGGGTACAACCTACTTATGAGTGAGTTGGGCTGGTTATAAATAGGATATAACCCAGGTACTAACCACTTACTTGGCGAAACGCGCACTCAAGTAATGACTTCGGAATCTATCGCTACTGGACATAGGTTCTTGTTGTTTTCAGATCCCGACTTGATGTCCAGAGGGTCCTCAATTCAGATTCGGAACCCGCGAGTTCCTCGACGTCATACTTGGTCAAACAACCATTTAGTGGTAAAGGAAGAAGTTGGGGATTTTTCTGGCCAGTCCCCAGTGGCAAAATGCCAGTCGATGCTTCATTTAGCTTCCCTCCCATGGGCAGCGCCGTAGCTCCTTCCAAATACGCTTTGCTGCGCGCGAAGCGGCGAGTGTGTGGTGTCCTCACCCCAGGAAATATGTCCCGGTTGAAATCTCCAGATCTGTACCAAGTGTACCCATTGGTCTTTGATTGGGTATGCTAACTGCTTGCTCACTAGTGTTGACCGCAGACAAATTAACCTCCTGGTTGATTATATGGGATGCCCACTTTTTGTGGGGATGAATCACTTTTGGAGAGGGACCCCCACCCCAATTAACAGGAAGGGTGTGTTCATCCGGGGTCAACATTATACTGCAAACAAAAAAGATATCCAATGTGTGTTTGTCTTGGAATCGCAACCGAAAGGTCGCCAGTCTGGTAGCATGGTGCGAGAGGCTTTGAAGATCTCTCGTTTTGTCAGAAATTCAACATGCTCCAGCAAAGTAAACCATATGTGTGTGTGTGTGTGTGTGTTTTCTTTTATAGAAGCCCCAAAATGGTGGTTTTCCTTTGTGAGGTCCCTTTAGAACTACAAAAATAAGGGTACCTTCGCAAAAGGACTCGCACATTTGTTCCACCACTGAGTTGTCCTGTTTGCAGGGAAGCCGTCTGAGTTGACAACCCGTAAAGCGCAGCCCAAATGCGTTCCCCCATACCAAGGGAAACCTGGATGGGTTGACGCATTTAAGGGAAGATGAGTCGATCACCCCTTTAAGCGGAACCTAAGCACGTGAACTCCTGGTTTAATCATTTGCTTCTTGTGCATGGTGACCTTTTGCCATTAAACCCTAAGGAACCCTACGCAACCCTGGCGATTTTCAACTCCCCCCCCCGTTACCTAGCCCCTTCCATGCATGCGGCGAGCTTCGGCCAGGCTTTGACTATGCCATGACGCTGGATACGGACTCCTACTTTCCAGCCACTTTGGGCTGGGGGCCCCGGCCAGTAGGAGGCTTTTTTGGGGCTCGCTTTGGAACCATTGGAATTCAAGATCTAGGTCCCCCAGTAGTGCCAACTTGTATCGATTCTTTTTTGGGGGGAGGGGTCCCCTACTAAAATAGACTACAGAAAAGAAAAAAAAAGGTAACCTTATTCTAACCTCTCTAATGGAGGACCTAGAGATTGTTGACTTTTCTCGTTGGGCTTTAAAGGCACTCTATCCCTACTAGAAATAGGTGTTCCCTTTTCGTTCCAGGGGACTTGAGCAAATGAAGGTTTAGCACCACACCGTGAAAACACATACACATACACACGTACACACACACACACACACACACACACACACCATCTCCCAGCCGACTCGTCAAATGCTGCCTAAGAGGAGCCAGGTCGATTTGCAACGCAGAGGGAGGGTAGTGGAGAGCTTGGGTTACAATCCAAACCTTTTGCGTTGGCGACCTTTGGCAAACCTGGATCGCTTGTCATGGTAGCTGTTTGGCTACGCCGGATGTTACACGCATGAAGCCAACCATTTAGCATTGATTCGGAACTAGCTTGATACACAGCTACTGTGGATGGACGAAATCCTGCACCACCTAAAAAACCCTGGACTGATGATTCCCCTGTAAATACCAACAAACAATAGTTTCCCATGGTTTTCATCCATCCACAGTATGGCGGGCTATGAAAGACATAGACTCCGAATTTATGCCCTTTTTGAAGGCAAAGCGAAAGGGGCCGCGGATTGCCCTCTCACCAAGTATCCAACAAGTCAAAAGCTGGCGGCGGTATGCAACCCTGGGTTTGAGTGCTTGAAGCTTAGCCTAGATTTATATATATATATATGCGCGCCTAGGACATGCGTTGTATTATTGTAACTAGCAGCTTGATATGAAACCTTGTATTGACAGGTCCCTCGACGGTTCTGCCAAAGGAAAACCGGCAGTTGGGTCCCCAAAAGAGACACGCGCACATGTGTCTTGGAAGCCCCAAGTACCCCCAAATCATCCCAGTTCCTTGTCATACTCCCAATGGCTTGGACCAGGTGCGCAGAGCATTTGTTTCCTTGGCCAAGGTGAAGTTAGTGCAAGTTTGCAAGAAACACCCTTGGGAGAACCTTCTCTTTGAACAGCCCAGCTGTCTGAAATGCCGAGTGAATGAATGTAAGGCTTGAGGATCGCTCCATTTCCCAGGTCCGGCGACTCCGGCTCAGCTTTCCCAAGTATGTGTGTGCCGTAAGGTGCCGTGTGGAACGCAAGGTTGCCTAGCAAAGAAACGGGGAAGAGCGTAAGGGGAGTCTAAGCGCCTATCGGGCGCGAGAGGTGTGCCTTTTGACTTCGGGACGTCTTTGTTCGTGCTAAAAACAGAGGGCTTCGACATGGCCGCTGGGTAGGGCCCGAGGCTCCTTGAGTCTGCCGCCTTCAGGCCATGGAACGATTCAAAGTCAGTCCTTTGTGACACCCACTTTTGGCTGGGGAGGGGTTCCATAAGCTCACCAAGGAACGCATTCTCAGCCAAGCCAGCAAGTCCCAGTTGGGGTAAGAATTTGTTTCCCTGTCTTCGGCCGGTTTTTCTTGGTTAGCTATACAGGTACATGGATAGGTTTCAGCTTTAGCCATTGGGTTTGGAAACCGAGAGGTTTCGACCCCTTCGAGCTTCTCAGTTCCACAGGCGCAGGGGAGTTGCAGTTGTCGTGTGGGTTTGTCTCTGCTGAGAGCAACGGGAATAGACGAGATTCATGGCTTCCAGTTGGTTTCCCTGACAACTGCCATGGGTTCTCTCAAAAAAGACGCCTGGGTCATGTTTGGTTTCCAAAAGTTCTTGGTGTTTTCCCCAGTTTGAACTTGCTACTCAGGTCAGGTAAATGGTAAATGCACTTCTTGGATATCGAACCCACCTGGTGCACATCCTGAAGTGCCTGAAAACGGGAGCCAACCGGCCGTTTGCTGAATATGTGTCCCCCGCCCCTGTTAGTGCGACAGAAAGTTTTGTCACTTCGTCACTACTGGAAATATTGATGTTTTATGTCCAGGGTCCAGGCGATTTCACCAAAGTAGTCAAAGTCTCGGGATGTGTTGCACCCGAGCCGTGGCTCACCTGCTGGGTGTCCCCGAAACATATGTGTGGTTGAGGCAAACTGAAACAGAATTGAATCCGAAAGTGTGATATGTCTTGGGCCAAGACCAAAGTGAGCTCACCTATGATGGTCCTTTGCGCTGATTCTCAGTTTGGTTTTCTCGTTGTTGTTTTTTGGGGTGGTGTCCTTCAAGTCCCATGTGCGGCGCGTAGCAAATGAAATGTATCTTATGGCTGTGGTTCGGCGATTTGCTCTCGCGACTGAGGGCTGACTAGGACTACCAGAAAATAGTGCCTTGCTCTCACTCAGGAAGCTCGTGGGTTCTTCAGATTGGTTAAGGGAAACCAAAAGCAGTTGGGGGGTCCCACATTTTGACGCAACACATTGTACTCCGAAACAACTTAGTGAGCAACACATACTCAGGTCTTTGAGCCACGCTTCACAGGATTCGGACTTGACATACCCAAACAGGGGGAGTGAGTTTCTAGACTCTTTTTTGGGGGAAGACCATTTTTAGTGGCAAGCAACAAGTTTTGTCTAAGAATGGGAGTCCCTTGTTGACATGCGGCAAACGCAAACGGAGTAAACCACCTGGTCGATCAGCGACCGCACGGATTATTTGCCAACCCCTTGCCCCCTTACAGCCTTAACAAGGCCTTGGGAAACTTGGGGGGGGGGGGGTTGGGCTGGTTGGTTGGTTGCTTGGCGCTTGGTTGCCGCGTCTCGCTGCAACCAGCGCCGAATGAAGGAGCTCCCTTCTCTCCAGCGTGAGGCTTAAAGGCCATCTTCCCCCACCTGGGCCGTGAATCTGCCAGCGCCCGGACGCCCAGGAATGTCCCTCCGGTCCAGTGACAGCCCTTGTGTCTTCTTTGAGTGTCGCTGAAAATGAACTAAGAAATGGACAGCAGCAACAACCCAACAACCCAACAACCCAACCAAACAACCAAACAACCAGACAACCCAACAACCCCACCCAGCAGCCCAACAAATGGACTACCAGCAAAGAATCAACTAAACATGGACTGTGTGTGTGCGCGGGGGTTGGGTGTTTGTGTGTGTGTATGCGCGCTTATGTTTTTTTGAGGATACCCTTTTGAAGGCTGGTTTGCACGGAAACCAACGGGAAACCTGCTTGGAGAGTTTCTCCAATTTGATACCCTTATCTATCAGCAGCTCTGTAGGCACCAGCTGCACTCACAAAACGGTAACGTGGAGCCAAACAGCAACATGGCACCAAACGGATTCAGGAAGCCACCGTTGGATCAAACGTCAATGTCTAATTGTATATATATATATATGTAAATATATATATATATATGTATATGCATACCTATATGTAACCATACAGGCCATGATGAGGAAGTTACGTTCCGAAGGAACCTTATTCCTCCATTTGCTGGTGAAAGACAGTTCTGATGTGGCTCTGAATCCGTATTGTATGGTACGCCCAAATCTAAGCTTGGTTTGGGATTCGCATCCCGCAAGAGGTGGTCGTGAACTTCATGCACTACTTCCTGCTCTACTGCCGCCTTCATAGCCTCGACCCACGCCGAACAAGGACCGGCGCGGGGGGGGGGGGTACTTTGTTTTTGTTTTTGTTCCGAAAAGGGTGGTGTATCCTACAAAACATGGAAGTGCACCCATCCCCTTGTGGAAGACTACTTGCCTCTTACAAGCTAAGGGGGCTCTGTGCAGTTCCGTGTTTGCTGTTGCCTGGGACAGACCTTGGGGGAAATCACCAGCAGCAAACAGTGCGTTTTGTTTTGAATGTACCCCTTTTTGGGTTGATGGGGGAAATAAGGAGTGTGTTTTACGAAAGGAAAACCACCATTTTGGGGGTGGGGGGGGGGGGGGTTTACGCCGAAAAAACACCCTGTTCACGATTTCCGAGCTTTTGGGATTGAGTCCCCCGCTTGCCGGCACCCAGATGCATGGGAGCAATTGGAAACATCGCCGAATCGCCGCTCCCAAGCTTTAGGAAATGCAGCAGGAGCGGAGTGAAGGGGAATAAAAAGGTGAAGGAAGGAATGTTGATTCCTCTCTGAGCGAAGGAAAATACTTGGTGGTTCCCAGCCATCCCCTTAGCTTTTTAGACTTTTAGTGTTCAGTGGGGATCTGAGGACAGCCCAGAAAAGGGGAGAGAGATGGCATGAGAAATGTTCAGCTTCCACGTTACTCGGTGTCAGACCGCAGGATGCTGGCGGCTCTGATTGAGAAGAACTTCAAGTGGTATCAGCCCTGCAGCTCAGCAATGCGCCGACGAGAGAGGTGTGCCATCGAAGCTCTTGCTCAACTGGGTCGTCTTTTTAAGGTGCCGGCCTACAGCCAACCCGCATGTTTTTTGGTTTTTGTTTTTGTTTTTCTGTTCTTTCGGGGTATGAGAGAGAATGAGGTCAACCGCTGACTGCAACAATGAGACATTCACCATAGTAGCGTGGTCTAAAAGATGAAAAAGAAGAAAGCTACCCTAGTATGAGTATGGCTGGTAGTGTGGGCTCCGGCCGGTGTCCTTGAAACCTGCCATTTCGAGCACTCTAGTTTCACCGAAGCACAAAGTTCAGGGGGGCCAGTGAGCATCATTAACCAGGGGGCCCCATGCTTTCCCATGTGGTTTCAAACATCGCCTTCTGGGCCAAGTTGAAGTGGATGATTGGGCGATGTTCAAGGGGGACATATGGGCGATGTTCAAGGGGGACATATGAGAGTGGCTCAAAGTTAAAGAGCTGGACCAAACCGCAGGTTTCAGTCTTTGGTTCCATTTACCAACGTGCCATGTACATCTTTTGAGCCATACAGTGAACCCAATCCAATTGATGGATGCGTCTCTGTGTGTTTTCCGAAGGTTCTCAAGCGCGAGTGTTGGCACATGAGGCAGAACCCTCCCCCATTTGCTCGTGACTGTCCACATGGAGAAACCGGCTGGACGACAATCCGCATGAAGTTTGGCCAAGTTGCTCCTTGATGAAGGTCCCTCACTGGCAGGTTCCCTTCCTTCAAGTTTTGGAGTGCAGCAATTCAATTTGAGACACACGCCCCAAACACACCCGCAGTCTGATGTAGCCTGTGTTTGGGTCCAGGCGGGTCCAAAATCCGCATGGGGCCCAGGTCTGACCAGGGGGAAAACATGCGGCATCCGTGCAGGGCAGACTCCAGACTCGAGGAACTCAGGTAAACCTCCAGAAGTTGGGTTGTCTGTTTCCATGGTACTTGGTTTCGGCTGGTTTTACGGGGGACCAAGGCAAAACCTTGGTAGTTCTGGGAGCCTTTCAGACTTGAGTGATTTCCAGAGCCCGAGCCCTAACTTTGAGGGTCCGAGATCCTAAGGATCCTTGGTCCGAATCCGGGGCGTTCTCTCTTTACATGGAGTTTTGGTTGGGTTGTACAACTCTTCATGTAAACGTCGCCCTAGAAAGAGGCATACCCACTTGCGCAGCCCTTGCACCAATTCAGAAGTACCGCTTCGTGTCCGATTGGTTCGACTTGGTCACGGGCACAGGGAGGAACAGCGGTGACAGCGTCCCGCCACGGGCAACAGCCAGATTGGAATCACGGAGATGGTCTTTGAGTTTGGCTATGGAGGAGGAGGTAACAACCAATGGCCCGAACGAAGGTGACAACGGCCTCGCCAAGCCGTCTTTGATCGCCTGAAACGTGAGCGCACCAGTCCGGACCATGGGCACTCTAGTTGCAGCTGATCATGTCAATACAGAGACCCAAATACTTGGAATGGAGTTGGGGACTGAAGGGGGGCATTTTGATTTTTTGAACCAACTGGTGAGCGGTGCTAGGGGGAGAGGCACCTTTCCATGGGGTTTTAAGGGAATCCCCGTGTCACAAGTATTTGGTTTACCCAATGTCAAACAGCTTGGCCGAACCAAGCCATCCAACTGATTTCCAGGCGATCCGGTTCACCAAAAAGCTCTTGACTCACTGAGAATCGGGTCGGAATCAAACAAGCCACCTGCCTGGTTCTGCATGCGTTTTCCAACATGGCGATCCAGGGCTCTATTAGCAAAAAACTTATTCAACCACTTCAATTATCACCTTTTCGTTGCCACTTTTAGAGTCCGAAGCACGGTAAAAGGAGCCCTGTAAGCCTTGGCCATGTTTGAACCCTTTTCATTTTTTGTTAGGGGCCCTGTTCCTTTGACCCTGAACCTCTTTGGACAAGCCAAAGGTGGAGTGGAGGTCAGAAAGAACGGGTCGTCCACCACACCAAAACCCGGAGCGCCGAACCCAAGGCAGTGCCTCATGCTGGACATCGAGATCTTGCGCCTGGATTGGTTCCGCAGCGACACCTATCAGGAGCCATGGGCAGGTTGAACATTTGCACCCGGCGGGGGGGCGGAGGGGTTCTCAAAATGTGCTTTTTGTTGGCTCCCCCCCCCCCCCGGGGGAAACTCGAAGGAAGTCCATTTTGGGGTTTGCGAGTTTTTGAGAAGCACGACTAATATGGCTGTGTTACTTTTTCCGTGGTCACAACACCCTGAACTGCAAATCCTGCGCGGACATCACTTGGACACGATCAAATTCAGACCCATTTGCTTTTTTTTTAAGCTGTCGTAAGTTGCCACCAGAATAAAACCCATTGGCTCAATGCGCCCACAATTGCCAGGGTTCCCTATGTTTCCAACTTGCCCTTCTAACATCACCTTTTGGTTGCCAATTCAACATGCAATTCCTTTTTGGTGGGGTGATGTGTCGAGGGGAAATACAGGGAGACCTCTTCCTTTGTGTTATTTAAGGGCTGCCGCCCAGTCATACAGTTAAGTACTCCAAAGAGGGCTGGCTTCTTTTTGGCTTGCCTTTAAGGCAACCCAAAAGAAGGGCACCCTCAAACAAACACAGCCGCTAACAGAGCACAAGCAACACGTTCCTTTTGGATGCTACAAACATGGTTGTCCTGCGTAAATGATCGGACCTGTTTATGTAGCTCGTGTATGTTTTGAGTGTGCTAAGTCAACAGTAAAATGGAGTACATACCTCCTCTGAATGCAGGCACCATGCGAGACCTTGTCGCACGAAATCCCGGCAAGGCAAAAAAAGGTCCCCCAAAAAGAGGGACTCATTTAGACACCGCATTCTGGAATGCATGGACAAAAAATGAGCCCCCCCATTTCGGGGAGGCCACCCTCCTGAATCTAAGCCTGTCCTCCCTACACGTTGCCAGCCAAACGCTTCCTGTCGCCCAAACGGGGGGACTCATTTAGACACTGCATTCTGGGATGCGTGGACAAAAAATGAGCCCCCCCATTTCGGGGAGGCCACCCTCCTGAATCTCTGTCTACAATGGGAATAACCTCACTACTCAGCTTCAACTACCCTAATTTGGGCCCGGATGCAAGCGCTCTTTTGATTGACTTTGGATGAATCAATTTGGCGCCAACATGGGCAAAAATCCGGGCCCGGAAAGTGCATTACCAATGGTGCCCAAACGCCACATTTGAAATGTAAAAAGAGATGATGATGACAATCATGATGCCGATGATGAAAGTGATGATTGTGATGACAATCATCATGAAGATGATAAGGATGGTGGCTCTCATGATAACTATCATCGTAGCATCCTCTGCATTACCAAAGATGCCAATGACTGCCTATGATCGTAGCATCCTCTGCATTACCAATGCTGCAGAATCAGAGATCATGATGGTCAAACGGACAATGATGATAAGGATGATGACTGTCATGATAATATCATCACAGCATCCTCTGCATTACCAATTGGTGCCCAAACGCCACATTTGAAATGTATAGAAGAAAGAGATGATGATGACAATCATGATGACGATGATGAAAGTGATGACTGTGATGACAATCATCATGAAGATGATAAGGATGGCGACACTCATGATAACTATCATCGTAGCATCCTCTGCATTACCAAAGCTGCCAATGACTGGCTATCATCGTAGCATCCTCTGCATTACCAATGGTGCCCAAACGCCACATTTGAAATGTATAGAAGAAAGAGATGATGATGACAATCATGATGACGATTACCAAAGCTGCCAATGATGACAATCATCATGAAGATGATAAGGATGATGACTATCAGGATAACTATCATCGTAGCATCCTCTGCATTACCAAAGCTGCCAATGATGACAATCATCATGAAGATGATAAGGATGATGACTATCAGGATTACTATCATCGCGTAGCATCTCTGCATTAACCAAAGCTGCCAATGATGACAATCATCATGAAGATGATAAGGATGATGACTATCAGGATAACTATCATCGTAGCATCCTCTGCATTACCAAAGCTGCCAATGATGACAATCATCATGAAGATGATAAGGATGATGACTATCATGGAAAGTCACCCAGCGTAGCCATGAGGCTAATGATGATGATGAATGATGCCCGCGCAGCAGCTCACCAACCTGTGAGTGCTGTAGGAAAGGGCTCCCTGGGGCTGCGGGTGCCCCCCCCGGCCCCTGAAGATTGGGGCTTAACGCCCCGCTCTGGCCGGCTATCTCAAAAAATGAGCCCCTTACTTTTCGGCACAAGGAGTGCTAGGGCTACTGGGCCCGTGGGGTAAGTCTCGGGCCGCCCAAGTCCACAAGCGTGCCAAGGATGGGTGATTTCTTGCGGTAGGGAGACCCAGGGCCTGGAAAGTCGCCCAGCGTAGCCTCAGTGCCAGTAAAAACAATCGAGAGCAGCGCATACTGATAGCCTCGAAGGGCTCCCCTTCGATTAAACACGTTAAGAGTGGCAGAACCGGAAAGAACAGTCTTGATAACATCAACGCGTTGACAGGCAATCTGGGCACTGCTTTGAGAACAGACAGTGTGCAACGCAAAAAGTTGCCAAACACTTCTGAATGATGAACAAACCTGGTTGATCCTGCCAGTAGTCATATGCTTGCCTCAAGGATTAAGCCATGCAAGGGAATGATGATGACGGTGATGATGATAATGCTGATGATGATGACGATGATGAAGAACCCAGATGATAATCATGTCCACGCACCTGTTGCATCCCAAATCGGATGATGATCATCATGACGTACCCTCAGCATCACAAGCAGTCATCATGATCATCATGTCCACGCATCTTTTGCATCTTAAGTCGCATGATAAGCATCATGACGCATCCTCAGCATCACCAGTAGTCATGATGATAATCATGACGACGCATCCTTTGCATCGCCAATGCTCTCTAACGCCACACTTCAAGTGTATAGTACAGAATGTAAAAGTATAGAAAGAGATGGTGATGACTACGATGATGATGACGATGATATTGATGACGACGGTCATCCTCAGCATCACCAGCAGTCATCATGATAATCATGTCCAAGCATCTTTTGCATCTTAATTAGCATGATAATCATCATGACGCATCCTCAGCATCACCAGTAGTCATGATGATAATCATGAGGACGCATCCTCTGCATCGCCAATGCCCTCTAGCGCCACACTTGAAATGTATAGTATAGAATGTAAAAGTATAGAAAGAGATGGTGATGACTACAATGATGATGACGATGATATTGATGACGACGGTCATCCTCAGCATCACCAGCAGTCATCATGATAATCATGTCCACACATCTTTTGCATCTTAATTCGCATGATAATCATCATGACGCATCCTCAGCATCACCAGGACTCATGATGATAAACATGAGGACGCATCCTCCGCATCGCCAATGCCCTCTAACGCCACACTTGAAATGTATAGTATAGAAAATAGAAGTGTAGAAAGAGATGGTGATGACTACGATGATGATGATGATGTAACCGTCCAGCAACCCTCATGATAAGCATATCCACGCATGTCTTGCATTTCAAATCGGCTGATAGTCATCATGACGCATCCTCAGCATCACCAGCAGTCATCATGAGAATCATGTCCACGCATCTCTTGCATTGCAAATCGGCTGATAGTCATCATGACGCATCCTCAGCATCACCAGCAGTCATCATGATACTCATGTCCACGCATCTTTTGCATCTGCAGTCGCATGAAAATCATCATCACCAGTAGTCATGATGATAATCATGACGACGCATCCTCTGCATCGCCAATGCTCTCTAACGCCACACTTGAAATGTATAGTATAGAATGTAAAAGTATAGAAAGAGATGGTGATGACTACGATGATGATGACGATGATATTGATGACGACGGTCATCCTCAGCATCACCGCAGTCATCATGATAATCATGTCCACGCATCTTTTGCATCTCAAGTTGCATGATAATCGTCATGACGCATCCTCCGCATCACCAGTAGTCATGATGATAATCATGAGGACGCATCCTCCGCATCACCAGTGCCCTCTATCGCCACACTTGTCGCATGATAATCATCATGACGCATCCTCAGCATCACCAGTAGTAGTCATGATGATAATCATGACGACGCATCCTTTGCATCGCCAATGCTCTCTAACGCCACACCTGACATTTATAGTATAGAATGTAAAAGTATAGAAAGAGATGGTGATGACTACGATGATGATGACGATGATATTGATGACGACGGTCATCCTCAGCATCACCAGCAGTCATCATGATAGTCATGTCCACACATCTTTTGCATCGCAAGTTGCATGATAATCGTCATGACGCATCCTCCGCATCACCAGTAGTCATGATGATAATCATGAGGACGCATCCTCCGCATCACCAGCGCCCTCTAACGCCACACTTGAAATGTATAGTATAGAATATAGAAGTATAGAAAGAGATGGTGATGACTACGATGATGATGACGATGATATTGATGACGAGGGTGACAAGGATGATGACTGTGATGATAACTGTCCAGCAGTCATCATGATAACCATGTAACTGTCCAGCAATCCTCATGATAATCATGTCCACGCATCTCTTGCATTTCAAATTGGCTGATAGTCATCATGACGCGTCCTCAGCATCACCAGCAGTCATCATCATCAAAAAAATGTCCACGCATCTTTTGCATTTCAATTCGGCTGATAGTCATCATGACATCACCAGCAGTCATCATAATGATAATCATGTCCACGCACCTTTTGCATCTTAAGTCGCATGATAATCATCATGACGCATCCTCAGCATCACGAGTAGTCATGATGATAATCATGACGACGCATCCTCTGCATCGCCAATGCTCTCTAACGCCCGCTAACGCCACACTTGAAATGTATAGTATAGAATATAGAAGTATAGAAAGAGATGGTGATGACTACGATAATGATGATGGTGATACTGAGATTGATGACGAGGGTGACAAGGATTATGACTGTGATGGTAATTGTCCAGCAGTCCCACATTCGACCTCGGCTCGCTAACGGCTGTGATGATAACTATCATCGTAACATCTTCTGCATCACCAGTGCTGTCGAACGCGGATGACTGTCATCATAACTATCATCGTAGCATCTTCTGCATTACCAAAGCTGCGGATGACTGTCATGATAACTATTATCGTAGCATCCTCTGCATTCTCAAGGGTGCCTAACGCCACAATTGAAATGTATATAGAAGAAAGATAGAAGAAAGAGATGATGCTGATGATGACAATCATGATGACGATGATCACGATCATCGTGGCATCCTCTGCATTACCAAAGCTGCGGATGACTCTGCATTACCAAGGATGCCTAACGCCACATTTGAAATGTATATAGAAGAAAGACAGAAGAATATCATGATGACGATGATGAAGGCGATGACTATGATGACAATCATCATGAAGATGATACGGATGATGACTCTTATGATAACTATCATCGTAGCATCCTCTGCATTACCAAAGCTGCGGATGACTGTCATGATCACTATCATCGTAGCATCCCTAGCGATGATCACGACTACGCGTCACTATCGAAACGGCACCTCGCCTCAGATGCCATTTGGGTCCTTGAGATTTGGAGTCCTGCCTTGATGATAATTATCACTACGCATCATTCGCAGCATCTCTGGCAGTCATGAAGGTAATCATCACTAGGCATCCCCAGCATCTCCAGCAGCGATGATCATAATCATGACTACGCATCACTTGCATGTCAAGCGGACTCGTGACCACCTTGATTCCTAGCCACTATCGAAACGGCACCCCGCCTCAGATGCCATTTGGCAATTTGCGCTAGTTTGGGCTAGCTCTGAGTCTAAGGTCTAGGGTCTAGGTAGGGCAAGATCGATATTCTTGCGCCAGACCCTAGATCCTAGACCCCAAGTAAGCAACTTGGCGCAGGACTTGAAAGGACGAGTCATGCCTTGATCCCGAGCATCTCGATGATGCCGATGATGATGATCACCCTTCCTGTGCGCCTCCCCTTTGGGAGAAGGGGTCGGCGGACATAGTTGAACCCCCCCCTTCCCCGGCAAAATGCTCTTAGAAGAGACTCCCCCGAAACAAAACAAACAGAAAGGCAAGGCTTTGAGCCGGGAACCGGACACCCACCAGGCCAGCCGCTCGTAAGCCACAGGACTTCTTCCGCTACATGGACTCTGTGGGCGCAGGTCTCAGCTTAGCTTTGGCATGAGGCTGGAGCCTCTTGAAATCTACAAATGAAATGCCAGCCTTAGCTTCGCTCCCATTGCAGTTTGGGTACGGGTTTTGAGTCCCCAATATTCTTGGGTATTCATGCTGTGGATAGTTGCGAAATCCGCTCGCGCCACTTTGAAACCTTGAGAAAGAAACTATCGCTTGTTGGTATAAAGAGAAATCATCATTCCAGGGTTTCTCAGGTGGTGCAGGAGTTTCTTCGGTGGTGTATGGATGTGCCTTTTTGGAAAGGAAACTCATCCCTTTGTTTAAAGGGAGACTGAAAGCCATGGCCATTGAATTTCCTCTCGGAGGTTAATCATTTTCGGACAAACGGCAAGCCCTGCCAGAGTGGGACCACGGCAACAAGCTCGGCATTCATGGCTCCCTTTTCAACACAAGGTTCAGGGGTTTGGTTGAAGTCCAGGCAGGACCCTCCCTGGAACCCTTGCTCAGGGGATTGAAACTCTTGTAAATCCACCATTGCACCCAAGATCACGTAGAGTGGTGTCAAGCTTCTGATAGGCGTTAATCCCCACATTTCGTTCTTTGAAAGCTATCACAACAAGGATGCTGGCCAGCTGTTCAATTGCGTGATAAAGCCACTGCTGTTTAGACGCCCCTCATTGGGGTTTCCACTTCAAAAGGTTCATAGTCTGAGTATTCTACCAATTCTGCAGCTTGACCATGACACCCAGCCATCCAAATCAACAGCACATGTGTTTTTCCCTCGTTTCCGCGCAAGTCGCCCTTCAACTTCACCGACTCACTTGGTGGGGCGCTTTGATGGTTTCTTTCCAATTGAGCCACATTCAACCTATGCAAGACATGGATAGTGAACCTCCCCAGCCCGGTTTTGTGCAAAGTTTTTTGAGTCCCCCATGTCCCCAAACATAGGCTACTGGATATATTCGCTGAGCCTCATCGTTTCTATTCCAATCCCGCCCTTTCCAAGCTGAAGAAAATTGGAGCCGCAATGAGGGTCTGTTTTGAGGGTCTGTTCTGAAGAAAATTGGAGGTCTGTTTTGAGGGTCCAGTTTGATTCGTAAGTTATTTTAGGACATGTTCCTGCCCTTGTGGCTGTCTTTTATTTGTTTCTGATGCAGGGAGTCCCCTTGAAGTGACAGTATGAGGAGATAGACAACAATGGCGCGGCCTACCCCCCCCCCGCAGGTTGACATGGCAAGCCAACAAAAATGGGGTGAGGAATCTCCTGGAGGACTCCCATTTGAGCTGGGGTCTCCTCCAAAAAAAGACTGAATGTGGAAAAGAGTCACAGGCTGATACAAGTCAAGTTTGGAGGAACCCCCTTATAGCTTGTGCAAGGGCATGTTGAGAGGGCGATCGATCGCAACTGGTTGCGCGCATGCCGCCGAGGCGGGTTTTGGCTTCATCGCTGGGGCAACAACCCAGCTCGGGCGCACCAGTCATTCAGGGCCGGGATTGTTTGGCAGTTTCAAGGGAGACCAAAAGCAGAATCGCCATGTTTGGGGCGCGCCTATGTTTCACACAGACCCTTGAGCATCGGTCAAGAATCATTGTGATCCTGCCGCAAGCGAATGACATTGGATACAGTCACCAAATTGCCACGAAGAAGGCGCGGCTACTGGGGCAGAAATATTGATGCGGGCACAGGATAGGACCTTTCTGTGAAAATTTGACTGTGACCTAATGTGGTTTCTGACCTCGCTCATCTGCGTAGCAAGTCTATCCTTTGGGGCTGGGTATGCCGAGGTGCGCACCTTTGCAGTGACGCTGCTGCTGGAAGACGAGGCCATGCAAAGTTATGCCAACTTCGGATTTCGACGAGAAGGACCACATGAAATCAGGAGGAAACCCTCCTTTAGTGGGGAAGTCATGGATTTACGGTGGCTTCCTGTGATCAATATGGTCCTCGTGGAAATTCGAAGTTTTTGCCAAATTGGCACGAAGCCTACAAAAGAAACCCTCATTTTTCAGGTGGGGAGTCTCCTTTTCGGGGGTGCAGCATGCAGATCTGGGTCTTCGGGCCCGGGATGGGGCAAAACTCAAACTGAGCGCCCCATTAAACATCTCGAAGAGGTGTAGCAGGGGTCAACAGAGTTGGGAGAGGACCCAACTGAGGCTGTCCCTTTTTTCGGTGGCTTAGAGAAACCAAAAGAGCAACCCAAGCCATTTTGAGGCGGTCCCAGTAGTGTCTTTTTCAGGGGAAAACCCCTTTTGGTTGATTTAGGCAACCCAAGAGAAACCGTTTTCATTTTCTGAAGGTCCCCTAATCTTGAGACAAACCCCATGTCTCTGTCCTACGTGGGTGTGGTTGAAAGTAGGGGAACTTGTGTTTCCTGTTCTTCCACCAAAACAACCACCCCGAAAAATGGTCCTTTTAGTGCCCTAAAAAAAAGAACTTTCCCTTGGAGGGGGTATATCCTCAAGCAAGTCGCACAAGCGGAAATCGAGGACGTGCGCACGGCGGTGCTGCCCTATGCGCACCAGGAGCGATTCGTGGCGGTCGAATACTCTCCGAAAGGGAACCCCCCCCGCCTCTCAGGGCGGGAGCTGTGCCTCACCACTCTACTTCCATTTGCTGAAATGAATATGTTTGACTTTCCCCTTTTGGTTTTAAAGGGGGTCTATCACTACTGGAAATATGTTTTGTTTTGTTCTTTCCCCAGCGGGCTTCAGCAAATGGAGGTCTAATTATTTATCTTGTTGTTGGGTTGTTTGTTGAAAAAACACGTGGTGAGTTCTTCCATTTGCTGAGATGTTGGTTGTTAAGGGGAAGCTACCACATGTTCTTGTGTTTTTGTTTTTTTTTGTTTTTTAATTATTTATTTTTTTCCGGAACTCTACTGCAAATGGAAGTTACTTGGCTCAAGTGCCCTGAAACAAGTGACTCGGCACTGTCGCCGATCTCGAAGGACCACTGCTCCTGCGGGGCCAAGGAGCCGCCCTGCCGCTGGAGCCCAGAGCACCAGGACGGGAGTTGGAACCACGACTCGTGGCTTCTTCCAATTGCTTATGAAGATGCGTTATTCCCCCTTTTTGGTTTTGAAGGGAATCTATACTATTTTTTCTGGGGAGCTTACGCAAATGGAAGGGTTGCTTTGGCCCAAAAGTCCACTTTCTCACTTGAGCCACCTGCTCAAAGCCGATTCGGATTGAAGGTCAAGGGACAGAAATAGGTGCAGAATTCCACCTTGGTAACTCTTGAAATGATTGTGGGTTCACCATGTTGGTACCGATCGATTTTGATTCTGCCCAAAGTGGTCCGAACTTGGTCAAAGCTCCACGAGGTGAATGAAGCCCTATATATCCGTGGGAAAGTGAGCTTGGAGGTGGAGAGGGCCTTTCAAACCCACGTCATCCCTTGGGTTACCTGGGTTCCTTTTCGATTTAACTTTTGTTTAGAGGGGCAACAGCCGTTGAAATCAGTCGACAAAACGAGTGCCAGTTCTTTTTCCCCAGACCAATTCGGGGCTTGGGACATAACCCACACCACACCACACCACACAACCCCCCACCCCCACCCCCACCCCCACCCCACCCCCACCCCCACCCCACCCCCGCCATCCCCCTTGCGCGATTGAAAGGCCCCTAGGGCACCTACAGCAGTGATTTGGGGGTCTCCTCGGATGATCACCCTCAACTGGGCAGCAACCCTAGGATTCGTCGCCTCCTGCGAAGGGACTCACTCAATTTGTCATGGGGCAGTTCTTGCTTTCCGATTTCCACGCTTAGGTTCCCCCGGCCACAAACGCCAAAGAGCGACAAAGAACGCAAGCGCTGCGCGGAGTGCCGCATAGCCACAGCCCGCTGAGAACCCAATTGGCTGGAGGCCTCTGTGGCAGATCCTCTCGTTGAGCCAAGGCGCATTCCTACATGCCCCAAGAACCAGTAAGCCAATAGCATAACTTTTGGGCATACGGCTCAGCATGAGGATTCCTTTCGCAGGACTTCCATAGGTCCGTCAACCTTCCTGAGCCCTGAGCCACTTCTTGGGGCGCGGCTTGGCCTTTTTTTGCAGTTGGTTCCCCTTTGTTTGTGGTTTTAGCTGGCAACTAAACGGAAAGCCACCATTTGGGGGGATCCACTAAACAAAGACATACCCATATGATTCCATTTTTGCTGACTGTCTAACTGCCTTCTGGTGATCATGTTTCTAGAACAACGTGGCAGTTCAAGTTTAAGGCGACTCCGAACCGGACAAAATTGTTTCTCCGGCTTCGCAACTTGCAGTCACACTCATCTAACCATCTCACTGGTTTGTCTTCAGATGCAAGTTTTGGCCGCGTGGATTGATTGGCCTTGTCCAAATTTAAAAGTTCGAACCTTTGGACTTGTACTTGATGTCTTTGTTTTGGCTGGAAATACTCAAGAACTCAACCAGGTTGCCCTCCATCCAAGTCCAGGAATACCAATGCCCTGGCACGCCGCGCTTGCGCGGCGCCCAGGATTCTGCGCGACCGTGGATCAACAAAATCCATTTCGCACCGTGAAACCATAACGTTGGTGAGTATTCGCAGGGGAGTCATCCTTCCAGGGTTTCTTAGATGATGATTTTGCCCATCAGTATGTGTCCTTTTAGGGCACTGGTTGAGATTGGTGTTCTTCCATTTTCCAGGACCATCGATTTGTCCAAAAGCTCACCTACCGCGTTGTCTATGACCTTTGTTTCAAAGGTTAGATCTGCATCACAAGGGTATCTTCAGCCAGGGTTGACATGTCCTGACAAAACGTCGATTTCAGTGCCAGGGGTCGATCGAGTGTTAAAAAAAAAAACAATATTTATGTCGAGCTCGAAGGATGGAAGGTATAGGGGGGGGGGGTGAGGCCCACTGCCCCAGGTGCCTATCCCCGGAGGGAACTGGAACCCTGTGGTAGTTGAGGTCGTTGTTGGTCCCTGGATCTATTCCGGAGAGAATCCAATATGCCAGTGTGGATGATTGGAGGATGGATTGTCCCTGGTGGATTGTCTTGTGGATAATCCTGTAAGCGGCCTGCTGAGGCTCTTTTGTCACACGCTCGGATGATTGTGTTTCTACAAAAGGGGCCCTTGAGCCAAATGTTGAGGGAGATCAATGGTCTGAAAAACAGAACACAAAACAGACACAAATTTCTTTTGATCTCCAGCACAAAGTATGAAATACTATTGGCTTCATGGCCTTTGGCCGTAGCCTTGATGTATGCCGTAGCCATGTGTATTAAAAATGCCGGATTCATCCTTTTTTCTGCTCGGATGAAATGTCTTGGCCTTCGAAATGGGAAACACTATGTACTGCTTCTTTTTGGATACCTAGATGTATCAAAGGGTGATGTACAACGCTATGTACACGCGGAACGATTGTGAAACTATTGATCCCTCACTCATGGTATAGTCTTGTAGACGACGAGGATCAATCATCTGAATTGTTCGTGCTGAACGTATGAATATTCATGGTCAGTCGGATCGACGATACCATCGGCGGCTGCTGTCGGATTGACTGCCATAGTCCCCATAATCATTCCAGGTCGAGGTGCTGTAGTCCTTCCACTGCTTCTGATGTCCCCACTGCTTGTTGTAGTCCTTATACTCCTGCGGGGTCCAGGATGGTTGTTTCTTCTTGATGTACTCCTGGTATCTCTCAGAGCTGCGTTTACTGGTTGCAGATTTGCTGCGGATGTAAACCATGAAAGAACTGTGGGAGTCGGAGTCCTGCGAGCCATTCATGAACATGTCATTGTTCACGTGCTTATAGCGCTCTGCGGATGAGACCTGGTAATCGAATATGGCCTTGGTTGGATGGTTCCGCATGAATACCAGTTGTTCATCATCCATGCCGTTCATCTCGTCCTTCCGGAAATCCTGCTGGATGTTCGTTTTGCCCCATCCAAATACGATAGTCATCATCACATCTGGGAATGTTCGATCATATCCTGATCCACATTTCATGTACAGGTGATGACGGACAATGGATTTCAGGGTGCACGAAGTCTCCATTGCATACTCCATTCTGGCCACGAGTGGCAAATTCTTCGTTTCATTCCACAGTCTCTGATATGCTCTCATGAGGATGTTCACGAGACCGTTGGCCGGATTGTAGACGTGCTGGAGTTTGCTGTAGGTGTTCGCTGATTTGTTGGCGTCTCCGGTGATCGCATCGCATCGGATGATTGCATTCTGAAGATCTTCCTTTGCTGCTTCCATGGCTAATTGAAGCATGGATGTGGAAGACTCCAATGGTTGCGAATGGGAGGTCTGCCCTCGTTATGTGGCGGTCGTCATACTCGTGGAGTGACTTGTTGGATGATTTCGGGATCATGCCACGAAACTCATCACTCTGCTCGATGTGGAGAACGACGATTCACGGAATTGAGGAATTGAAAATATGCAGAACGGAAAAACTCATGCATCAGAATTCGTGGACATGCGGATCATGCCCAGGTTCCCCAATAAGCAAACATGGATTCTGCTACACCGACTCCTGCAAAGGCAATGATGTCGGGTCCGTGCTTCGTGTTGTGTGCTAGCCACTCAACCAAGAATGCCTTGTTCTGCAACATGGTACGGAAGGGTGGATGTGCATCTACATTCAAGAGATTGCCGGTGAGGACGGCCTTGATGAGCTCGTCTGCTTTAGCTGAATGCTTGGTCAGCGAATCTGCCAGACAATCTTCACTTCGTACATGTGCAAGGTCGTGCATCTGTCCGCTGTTGCTTTCCTTTCTCAACATCTGGATCAAATGCATTGTTTCTTTCTGTTCCGGTTGATGTGTTGTGGATGCTGTGGTGACAAGATTGTTCGCATCAGTGCGGATGTGTACATCTGCAATTTCGCCCGTTATGTCTGACCAGAGACCGCGAAGAAATAATGCTGAACCGTAACAACGCATTAGTCCGTGCAACTCTGCAACAGTAGTGGACATGGTTGTGGCGGTGATCTTGTGCGTCTCATAGTCGACCAGTGAACCTGTCGAGTTCGATGAGCCCTGGCGAAGATCTCTTTGTTCTGCAAGAAAAATAACATGCGCACGTTGGGATGACTTATCCTCGTTGTTGCGATAGGATGCATCTGGATAGCCAACTACGCGTGTCTTGCCACGAAGGGGCCAGAATCTCATGCTAAGCGGGATGCTTTTGATGGTTCTGACTGTCTTATTAATGGCGCGAACGTCCTCAATGGTTGGTGATGATGCCTTGGGTGCACACCTTGAGACTTGATAACCAATGTGGAAGTGCGTTCGCGACTGTAACCAGTTAATCTGACCGAGGACACTTCTGTATGCAGTATGCATTTGTGGAGTGAGAGGAGTGTCGTCCTTCAGGTGTTTGTCAAAAGTGATCTCCTGCAGTTCGTCGATGGCAACGTTCTGATGAACATTGATGTACCAACCGTGCTTGTCATCTTGCTTCCATTGGATGCGCTGTCCTACGAAGAGGCAATCATTTTTGTCCTCGGAACCAACCTGAAAATCTTTCCGAAGTCGTCCCATGATTTCCTTCTCGAACACGTCATCCCCCGTCATAAGAAGATCATCTACATGAAGAGACAGCGCTCCATGAACTTGTCGATTCTTGGCATTGTTACCAGAAACAGGATCCATTAGGTAATCGACTGCTCCTTCTAGATCGAAAGTTGTGGATGATTTCTTTTCACTCACCAATGCGGGCTTCGGAAGCTGCTTGCCGTAGTACACGTATGTACAACGGTCTGCCCGGGTTGGCACTAGTCCGTATGAACGGAGTGCCGAATCAAGGATGTTCCACCATCGACGTGGTGCGTCATTCAGCCCGTAGGCAGGCTTCTTCATGCGCGCTCCAATGTGTGGTGGATATCCCATTTCAGGAGGTATCTGACAAATGATGTCACGAGACTGATCGTATGCTTCGCCTTGGAGAAATGCTGTCTTCAAATCCATGTGGAATATATTCCAGCCTTTATTTGAGGCTGCTTGGATTGCAAGGCGGAAACCACTCCTGGATGCAGCAGGACTGTCTGTCTGCTGATCATTCTTCTGCTTGTCTTGGAAGCCTCGGAGGACCCAGCGAGCCTTGGTCTTCAGGAAGTTACCATCCTTGTCTCGCTTCAGGGTTAGGACCCAGCGACCGGTGACCCAGTTCCTGACCTGAATCTTGCGGGTATCGACTACGTCGAACACTTCATTGTCAAGCCATGATTTGCACTCAAGCTGCTTGGCTTCAAGGAATTGCTTCTGATAAGCTCTTATTTCCGTGGCGGTAGCTTCCTTCCGCTTCTTGCCAATGAGTGCGGCTGTGGATGAAGCCTTCAAGGATTCTTGCTTGGATGAATACAGAACTAAGAGTGCACGGTCATCGTCGGTCATGTTCTTGCATAGCTGGTCAACATGATTGTGATCTGTGTATTTCTGATGAGAGAATCCGCATCGGGGCGATGGGCTGAAGGTCCCTTTCACACGTCCATCCAACTCGATGTCGCAACACCAACTCAGTTGACGATTGACAGGAATGAAGAAGAGATGACAGCCATCCAGATCAAGCAGCTGTCAAAGCAAGCTTTCCAAGAAGCACGTCAATCCGAGGACATCCGACGAGACCTTGCTCAAAATCTCCGAATGAGTTCAAAGCCTCTTCAGGTGAAGGACAAGGTATTCTACTGGCAGGAAGACAAATCCAAGATTCGTTCCGATGGTCAACATGACGAAGCTCAGGAAGGATGAGACCATCATTTCGGGGAAACCCGGAATTGACCTTCTGTTACCTGAAGAGCGAGAATCCTTGCAGAAGGAGCAACCAGGCTCCTCTGTAGATACCAAGAAAAAGGAATCATCCGCACCAGCTCCTAAGCCAAGATCCTCAGTGCCATTACGTATCGCGGGAAAAACAACTCCAAAACCTGCAGTACCTCATCCAGCAGAGAACATGTTCGTCGAGGACCTCACATCCATTCCTGAACAAGCACATTGGAATTGTGTACGTAAGGGAAAGATCCACGTTCTCGAGATCTTTGCAGGAAGTGCCAGATTCAGTCAATGCTGTGCACTATCAGGTCTTAAGGTTGGGACTCCCGTGGACATCCGCACAGGATTCGATGTAATGACATCCAAGGGACGACACATGGTCATGGAGATCATCAGGGAACAAGCACCTGATGTCATCCTTATGGCACCGGTCTGTGGACCATGGTCAAATATGCAGAACATCCAGCAAGACCAACAAAAGGTTGGGGAAAAGCGGAGACGCTACCTTCCCATGGTTGAATTTGTGGCATCCATTGCGCGTTATCAGTTGAAGCACAGAAGATACTTCATTATCGAAAATCCTCAGACATCCAGGATATGGTATCTGAAATGCATGCAACAATTGTTTTCAGACCCATCCGTGACCTGGGGAAATTTCCATTTCTGTGCATACGGACTAAAAGATCCTGAATCCGGGCTCAGAAGTCTCAAGCCCACGGGCTTGATGCACTGTTTACCTTCCGAGGTTATGAGACCGATCTTCAGAAGGTGTAAAATGTTTTCCAGCTCAGTCAAGCATAAACACCAACCCCTAGAGGGAAACGCTGGTACCTTCGGAAGCAAAACCAAACTGGCACAGGTGTATCCTTACCAGTTCTGTCAGGATCTTGCGCACATCCTCTTACGACACTTGCAAGTGAAACCGCTTGACAATGAGGTGTACCTCTTGGAGGACCTTTTTGAACCATTCACCATCAAGCAGGTTGATATCCTGAGAAAGGAGATGGAAGCCATTGACAAGGAGTTCAACATGACCAGCAGCAGTCTTGCAGTCAGAATCCAAGACCTGCCGTTCAACAAGGACGTTCAACCATTAGTCAAGGATCCGCTAGTTCAGAAATTCCAGAAGACGATGAAGCAGTACCCACCTGGGACTGAAATTGATATTTTCAAGCAAGATCCTAATGACTGGCGATGTCAGAACATGTGGAACGGCTGTAAGAAGTTGAGACAACTGTGCATCTCATCCACTCAGTATGATGCATGCACCGCATACGTCCACACCATTGGCATCAATATGCCTATTACGTCACCTCCGGACGATGCAATCATATCCTTCTGGCAGCCTGATCAGCTGAATAGAATTTGGGTCTTGCCTGCATCAAAATGCAATTGGGAGAAGTATGATCCGAAGACTTGGCATGCTGTGATGTTTCTGCTTTGATGGAACTTAGCATGATCTTGAGTTGTGCCTTCAGGAGTCGAACTGCTGCTTCAGCTCGATTTGGCCATGGTGTATTCAGTCCCAAGGATATCGGTGTGATGTCAAGGGACTGATAGAAATGTTCCCATGTATCTGTCATGAAGGCTTGATCTGCGACAACTGATTTGGGCTGCAAGTGGTACTGGTCAAAATAGTTCCTGAGGACAGTGATGTTATCGACTTCTTGCGTAGTTGTCACTGCCTCTGCAGTGAGCAATGTTGTTGCTCCATCCAGGATGACAAAAACAATGATGTGTTCTCACTGTTCCAAGAGGAACTTGACAGTGATCAATGAATGTCATGTCACCAAAGGTGTCCGCTCGAAGTCCGCTTGTCTTGCTTCGTGATGGTGCATGTTTTGCCACTTGGCAAACTTCACACTCACTTCGGATCTTGTCAAATAGATCGAATGTTGATTTCGGCAAATGAAGTGCTCGGGTTCTAAATCGAAATTGATCTGTTGTCATGTGATGATGCTGCAGGTGGAGTTTCTTCAACTCTTCGGGATTTGACAATCGCTTGTGGATTCTGCCTAGGGCAAGCGGAAGCGATGTCGGTTCTTCTGAGGATGGTGCGAAAGGATCTGGCTCAATAGTCGACCGGCCCCTCTTGTCGATGATCCTGTCTGCTGCCGATCCTGAACCTGCTTCTTCGTCCTTAAGCGAATTGTCCGAGAAGGTGAAAATGGTCTTACCTATCCACAGGTTAATCATTGGTTTATTTGCCTGGGATGTAAGTCTCCAATTGTCTTCCAAAATGTCTGGATCTCCACCTGCGGATGCATCAATGATTTCCGTGGTACGTTCTCGGCTAATGTGATCAGGATTGATTGGACATTCCTTGGCTCCATTTGGTGCGAACAGCGCCTTTCGGGGCGTGATGTGCACACGGATGAGCTGCTTGTTCTTCTTGTCAAGGATCCAATGGTCCTGCTTTTGAGACCCAATGATCTTAGGAGTTGCTAGGTCCTCCTTTGTCTCGGATGATTTTGCTGCACAAACAGTTTCGCTCTTGGTGAGATCCCCGGAGGGAAACTTGATGCTGTTATCATCGTCATAGACATAGTTGGTGAGGCCCTTGTGAGCAATTTCTCCATGCGCCTTCACTCTTGCAACTCCAGCGAGATCGACGAGTGCATGTCCTGTACCGGATACTGGAACTGCTTGACGGTTCATGCCAAAGGCCTTGCATGTGATCTTGTCACATTGAGGTGTGTGCTCGATGGTCATGTAGAGGTTCCGCATCTGGCTGATGCTGAGAAGGATCGGTACAGTTCCTTGTTCAAGGACGTCGATGTTGGTACTGCACGGAGGAGTTGTGTGATATCGAAGATGCAGGGTCCAATTTACCCTGGCGGTCTCTCCGTTTGCAAAAGTGAACTTGGTCTCGGCCGGGATGTACTCATAGGAGATGATGTCCTTCATTGGTTCGATGGCCTGAGTAAAACGCTGGATTGCATGCCAGCTGCCCATAGATCTGGTACATCCATTGTCCAGAATCGCATAGGTCGGGTTGTGCTGAGGGTTGATGACAGGCGCCATCAGCTTTGTTGCCAGAAGGCTGTGATTTGTTGTTACGGACAGATTGTGTTCTGAAACTGTATCTGATTGGATCAGCTTCTCGTGGATGGCCTTTTTCCCAGGATGCTCATATGCATCATGGAATGCCATTAACGCTTGTCCTGTGCTGGATGTCTCATGGGATGAGTACCAGCCTTGTTCATTCCATGTCCATGATTGATCCCAATCTTGGTCTGTCCAACCGGCATAGGTAGCCTCTATGGATGGTGCAGTCTGCTGGATGGCGGGCTGCTCCTCCGTCTTTTCTGCGGTGGCTGCGAACGTCCTGGATTTTCCTTTCTCCTGTCCGCTCTTTCCTTTAGCACTCTCATAGGATGGATAACCTTTGTTTCCATCATAGGGATATTGGAATTTGATTTTCCATTCTTTCCCTTCTTTCCCTTGCCTTTCCCCAATATGCCTGGTCGTAGGGATCATAGTTTTCGTTGGCCATATTGGCCTTTCCGCCAGAACCGCTGTTTCTAAAGGGTTTAAAGCCACCTCGTTGGTGACTGCCCTTTTTGTTTCCTGATTTTCCTTTTCCTTTTCTCTTCTTGAACTTGAAGTTCCGCCTCGACACTTTTCTTGCTATGAACGCATCGTTCTCCTCGAGGACCCAGAACGTCTCTTCATCGTTGTTTGACATGAATCCTTCAAGTCCTTCTTCATCCTCAACCCAGAAGCCTTCTTCTCCTTCGTATTCACCTTGTTCGATGATGAAGAATGTGTTGCTTCGGCTGCCTCCTTGAGGTCGGATGGATGGATCTTGGATCGATGTCCTCGTCGTGAAGAGTTCATGGTAATGCGTCTTCAGCATCTCATAGGAATAATTCTCAAGTGAGATGTTTCTTAATGACATTGCACTTGTCAGTCTTTCTCGTTGCTGATCTGACAACTCACTTTGAATAATGAAAAACTGTGCAATGAGATTATCCCCAAAGGGAAATGCGTCCCGCTGTCTGTCCTGCATTCCTTGGATATACTGTCTGAGGACTGTCGGATCGTCCTCATTGAGCAGGGCTGGAGGCGGTGCTCGAACACCGGCTGCTTGCTGATGTCGAGCAATTGTTCTTGCATTTGCGTCCTGTACGGACTGTCGAAATGATGGAGACTGTGCCGTAAAGATTGGCATCAAGTCCATCCATGCTGCCTTCAGTCTCATAAGTAGGATTTCGAATTTTGAGGTAAAAATGAGGAACTCTTGGTTCTGCCTCCGATGATTGAAGAAACTGAGGAGTCTGTACAGATACACGTTGGTCGCACCTTTCAAAAAGTACTTCTTCAGCGTGTTCTTGAAATAGTTGACTCCTTCATCAGGATCTTGCAAAAGATCATTCTGGAGGACGGCCTTGTACATGTAAGCATCTCCAGTGAGTCTGCTCTTAAGCAATGGACCTCGCTTGGATGCTTCTACTGTGGTGATGGTCACCCAGTCGTCCACGAGTTCCTCGTACCTGAACCAGCTGACTTTTCCGTCGTACGATGGCGGCTGCTTGGCGGTCATCGATAAATTTAGTGTTTCCTCCGTATAGCTCGGCTTTGGCCATACTTGTATAGGCTTCCATGAAGCCTTCTCCATCGGATGACATCTTCCCTTGGATCTCTGCGGAAAACCCGCTCCGCTACCACAAATTGAGGCCCACTGCCCCAGGTGCCTATCCCCGGAGGGAACTGGAACCCTGTGGTAGTTGAGGTCGTTGTTGGTCCCTGGATCTATTCCGGAGAGAATCCAATATGCCAGTGTGGATGATTGGAGGATGGATTGTCCCTGGTGGATTGTCTTGTGGATAATCCTGTAAGCGGCCTGCTGAGGCTCTTTTGTCACACGCTCGGATGATTGTGTTTCTACAAAAGGGGCCCTTGAGCCAAATGTTGCGGGAGATCAATGGTCTGAAAAACAGAACACAGGGGGGGGGGTTAAAACATGTTGAAATGTAGATTTACTCCCTTGTCCAACGCAATCGACCTTTTAATCTGTTGGTTTTCCCTTTGTGGCAACCACTTTTAGTAACAGTCCCAAAAGGGTAAGCTTTTATTCCTGGGTCCTTACCGAGTTTAGTCCTGCACCAGCTCGCTCGGCTGGGCACTTGCGTAGCTTTGCAAAGTGGCAGTTTCATGCGGAACTGAAAAGCTACGGCTCACCGATGAACAGAGAAACGTTACAAAATGATTCCCGTCTCCAATGAGTGAGTTGTCCATGAATTCTCTGAGTTTCAATGGGTTTGGGGACTGAAGCTGAAGGGGATCCCCAAACGGAAATCACAAGTTGGATTGTTCCGTTTGAGGGCATTCCCTCATTCCTTCAGAACCAAAGCTCATGGCGTATGTCTGCTGACCAAAAAGGGAAGCATCTATTGTAGAACTCCAGAATCTTCAAGACATAGCCCGAAAAGCGCCAATATGTTGGAGCAACGAATTGTTCAATGATTGCAGTTCACCCGGCAGATGGTTCTCTAGAAACCGTCACCCAGAAACTCACAGGTTCTAAAAACCGTCTTCAAGAAAAATGACGATTCCCCCCAAAAACGGGGGTCGCCACGAAAAGGAGAGAACATTTTTTGCGCCTCCATGCCACGCCTTCGCCACACGGGCCCCCCGGTCCTAGGCCGGCAGAAGCCGGCGCCGAGCGCGCGACGCGCGTGGCCTTGGAGGAGCTCTCGGAGGGGCTCTTGGACCTACAGCCGGGCACCCCGCCCGCTGCAAGGAATGGCGCAGTTCTTACAAAAAGCCGAGTAACATCATGTTCGAATTGGCTGAAATGAATCTCAGTTCTTCAGAACCGACCTTTTGATGTTCATATTCTGAAGTGAATATGGCTGGCTCGTTTTTTTGTTAGACCCCCAAAATGAGGGTGTGTCCTTCTTCGAAGCCGACCTTTTGCTCGCTGGCGGGCATTCACTCATTCCCTATTGAGCACCAGCAAATTTACCTTTTTTTTTACAAATGGTCTTCCAGGACCCCCCCTGACAGGTTCCACGTTAATTGGTGGGAGGGCAACTTGGCGGTTCCCAGCGCTCCGATTCCTTGCCCATTTAACCCACTAAAGCTGAACTTTTCTCAGGGAATTTGAAGACAGCCCGGTCAAGTTCCATCTGCAATGAAGTTTGTTTCGATTTTCCCCTTTCAAGGGAATTGATCACTGGAACTCAAATCTTTTACATGGCTCTTTTTTCTATTGGACTTAAGCAAATTGAGATTAACCTTTCGGTTCTCCCTTCTTGGTCCACTTTGAGTAAAGGTCCCAAAACGTTTATTGCTAGAGTTAATGGTGGAAACCCTTTGGTGCACCCCAAACACTTCGTAGTTCAGATGTGTATTGTGTTTGTTTTGGTCACGCCTAGTTGCTCTGGGCTTCCTTTGGCAGCCAAACCCATGGTCAGTGGACGTGGCTTCCCTCGAGCTCCGGAGGTTCAGGTCGTCCCATCTCTCAATGGTTTGGATTGGTGCCTTGGATTCGGATTTGAGCACCAAGCCCCATGTGGCTGGGAAACTCGCCCCCGAACCAGGCTCCAAACCGTGAGGCTTTGGGCACCTTTGGTGTTTAGTTTAGCCATGCCATAGATTGTGAATCATAGCTTACCGGGTCTTCGTGTATATGCATAAGATTGCTCAGTATGGTCCATCTGAAAGAGACCTGGGAGACTCACTTATTGTTTTGAAACCAAGCAAGTCTATGTTTCTTTTCTTCCAAACAGAGCTCCAAATCCGACGCAGGTCTCGAATTCGGGGCACGAAAATGGCTTCCCTTCACACAGGTGCCGCTTGTGGTTCGAACGTGTTTGCTGATTTACCAATTTTGCCCTGTTGCTCCGTGTGGGGTTCCACCATTTCGAACACTGAGCCCACTTTTGGCGGCCAGAAGTCCACTCTGGCCAACAAGAAACACGCCTTGGGCGTGAAACCGCAGATCTTAGGCCCTGGCGAGCCTCCCCCCGGCAGCTGAGCCGCCAATCGGAGCTGGACCTCTACAACTTTGCCGCCTGAGGCGCGCGAAGTCGAGCTCGGGCCGATGGATATCTCGGGGAGTCGGCGAGTCAAAATCCGAGGGATCTTGGGATCAACCCAGAGGAACCAACCACGTTGCTATCGCAGGAGGACGAACTCGGCTGATTTCAGTTGTAGCCCTGATTTTTCTGCTTGGAATGTGGGTTTGGGATTTGAATGCCTGGTTCTTGCAAAGGATTGAATGGGATCCCACCCAACTTCAAAATCACCAATTCAAATCGTGAACTCGACAGCAGCTGATAATGTGTTACTTTGTCCAAAAGAAAACTAAAGGGGATGGGCAATTTGTTGATGTTTCCACAAGTTGGTTCTCAGGGAGTCCTTCGAGGGTTTTGGGAACCAGCAAGTTGCCGCGTGTGGGCTCCAGCCACTGTTTTGTTCAAACGAAAATGGGCTCATTTCTTCCCCCCCCCCCTCGATGGTGAACACTTAGGATCTATGTTGCAACCATTTGTTTAGGGCATTGTTTTTTGGGAATGGGTCTGCAATGCTATCATATTATTTTCAAGCATTTCCATTCCTAAGATGTCTTTATGAGTCTTTACGAAAAGGATTCTAGAATTCTAGTAAACAAGAAATGACCCTTGACATGGAAACAAGCCAATATTAATTATCAGGGTTCCATTACCCGCTATTTGGATGAGGTAGCGGTTACATGGTCGAGAACCCAGAGAAGAGAGTGATAAAGAAGGAAGTAATGGGAAGGGAAAAGACATCAGAGATAGAGAGATGTCTCCTTCCCACTTCCCCATTCGGCTTGTCCATGGTGCCTTCCCCACCACCCCACGGCACTGGGCAACTGAAAGGATGGATTGGCAAGTGGCAGAATCTAGCTGGCTTCACTGGACGATCTCTCCGATGCCGACATGTTGTCTTATTTGTGCAAGTTATACGACAGGAAGACTCGCGGCCTAGGACAATCTCGATTCTGGAGTCTTTCCTTCTGGGCCGCTTTTGGTGCTCGTTTGGAGCCCACACGCACCCAGTGCCCACAGCCCCGCGTTAAGAGCGACTTTGAGAACATGGTCAAACTCAGCAAGGCCCAAAGCGAATCGAACTCTTGACCTTTGAGTTTCCCCTTGTTGGTCCATTTTATTTCTGGGTCCTCTGGCAACTGAGCAAAGCAACCGACTGACTTGGAGCAGGGGATTCTCGCATCAACCCTCTGGCTCGGGTTGAGTTTGGGCAACCAGCGTACAAAGAACAAATGCCCCTTCAAGATACCAACTTGTCGGGTACGGTATGATGTCAGACGAACCAGCGGGGGTATTTACCATGGAAACCCTGCCTCTAGACATACCCACTGAAAGCAGCGGGGAGTTGGGGCTTGGCGAACTATCGTTCACCCAATACCCGGTTTCGCTAGAAAGCTTCCAGGAACACGCCCGGTTCGGAGTTCGAGCGCTCAGGACACCTGGACGTCTCGAGAGAGCCAAGGCCAAGGCCGAAACGACCGGGAAGCCGGGGTGGGTTCCCTCCAGAAACAGGCCCCGAACACCTCCCTTGAAATGGGCTCGTCGTTTTGGAGGGTACCAACTTGTTTGTAGGTAAGGGGAAACCAAAAGGAGAAGCCAATGCTCTTTTTTTACCGTGTCCCCGAAAAAAGACACCCAAAGCTTCTTGGGCACACATGTCTCCCGCTAAAAATCAACATGGCTTCCCCCCCTCTCCTTGAGCACCTTGATCGGTGGCTTTAGCCATCACCTGTTGGGAAAGGGCTTTAAGGGGGAATAGAAGAAGCTCGGGTTCGTATGGTTGTTTTTCTTGAAGGAACCCTTTTGGTAGGGACACCGAAAAGAAGCTAACCATGTGATGTCCCCTATTTAGAGGCAAACCCTCATGGATTCAGCAGAAGGTTCAAGGCGGCAAAAGGAGCGATAGAGCCTAAACTGATCGACCGAAAGCAACCCCCAGTCCAAATCCCAACTGGTTTTAGGGTATTTGTTTGAAGAACCTGGTTTCCCATGACTTTCATTGCTCTTTTTTAAGTCACAAAGTGTGTTTTCTTACAGAATCATACCCCAAATGGCGAACATTTGAAGGGGGAACTTGCCAAAAGACCATGGTTTAACCTTTGCTAGGTCCCCCAGTAATGCCCGTTTACCCTTTTTTGGGGGAGGGTCCCCCTACTAAAATAGACTACAGAAAAAATGTTGGTACCCTTATTCTAACCTCTCTACTGGTTTGCCAATGTTCTACTCTCAGCTGGGTTGAAGGGACCACCAAGCCAGCAGGGGATGACCATCCCAGGTCAGCTCGAGCACTCCACAACTGGAGTATCGCCCAAGCCCCCAAAAGTTGGCTTAGGCGGTGCTACTGCCATTGATTGGATTCTTTTACAACGCCTTTAGATGGCTCGTCTTTTTTGGGGGGGAAATGGTGGTGTTCCTCCTGGTTTGCCCTTTAAAGCCACCCCAAAAGTGGGACCCTCACAATGACAACCATACATACAGTTGCAACCGTGTTGATCAGATCAAAGTGGCAGCAGGGGTGAGAAAGTGGCGCTTCGAGGCTGGTCGATTTCTGCCAGGTCGAAGGCGGATTCCAGGCGGGGAATTGGTTTTTTTTCGGCGAAGGATACCCTTTTCAGCTTGGTTTAGAGGGAAACCAAGAGGAAAACCCAACTTCCCCCCCATTTGTTTGGGTTCGAATGGGTGTCCCGCTACGAATTGCAAAGTGGGATTGAGGATTCCCCCATGTTGAACAAGCCAGTTTGTCTGGGCAGAATATAACGAGTGCACCTCGGCATCAAACAAGCTTACTGGTCAATTCCAATGTTCTAATTCGGGAATAGCAGTGTCACCTAAAGGCATCCAAAAGGGGGTGGGCATTTGTTTCATTGTTTCCAGACCCCTCTAGCATCCATCCAGCAAGTGGGGAACACAGAACTTTTTAGTGTTTTACCATGCTTGTCATTGGCTTACTTGTAATTCTCAGACGTTCGCCGCGGGTCTTGGCAAATCAAACTGCAAGCTTACAAAGGGGTTTGGTGTGCGATCAAGACCCCTGGGGAAGGTTTCATTTGCTAGGTCCTTCTATGATAAGGGGAACTCACTGAACAGGTTAAGGCAGTGGAATTTGGGAGGGAGTGCCCTGTGGCGGGACTGGACCACTGGAATTGGGTACCCCCCCCCCTCGCCTTGAAGGTTTGGGGGATACGAACTTGCTTCCCCACGAAGCAAGCCCACGCTTTAAAGCACTAAAGAAGAGCACCATCTTGGTGCATCAGGGTACCATACACCATGGTATCCTGACTTTCGGCTTCAACTCTCTCTTTGGCCCCCTGTTTTGAACAAGTCAACCATCCGGATTAGGTCATTCCTGTGCGTAGCCAAACATGCAGCTCGCATGGGATTCTGGGAGCTACTTGAATACCCTATCCTGACAGTGCTTCCCCGCTTGTGGACTAAGGTGCGGTTGCTCAAAGAGCTAGGATCTTGGGGGGCAAACATGTGGTTGCAAAATCCAGCTAAGTCTGATCTATCCGACTCATGCAGTTCCTAGATTGCGTAGTGACCATCCTGCTCCAAATTCACCCAGTTGAACTGTTGAACCTGTTGCATCGGAATTCAGGTAACCCTTGCAGATGTCAGCCCCGCCCCAACCTCCTTCTTATCAATCCAGACCACCAATTAGAGGGATGCCGACTTGAGTCGATCCTTGCGCCAGGCGAAGCGCTGACCCTCTGCCAGTCAGCCTCTCTCCCGCTGAGGGGAGACACGCCGAGACCGCGCGACTGCGTCGCTGCACGCAGTCGCACGACGCCGGCGGAGTTGGATTCGGAGCTGCTCTACGGACATACCGTCCTTTGGCCTTGCCAAGCTGGTGAACGCAAAACAGGGGAGCGCCTGGTTTTGCAGATACTTGGGAAAGCCACGCATACTTTGAGGGCTCCCACATTTTGAGACAAACTCAAATAGCACTTGAACATGTTGATGTTGGAACATGGTTTCATTTGCCAGGAAAAGGCGAGGGCTGCGCTTTGCAGTCAAATGGCCTACGGCCTAGATGTGTCCCACCGCGCGGCAGCGGTGGTCCAAGGTAGAGGCCAGAGATCAAGTGGCCCTCAACAAGTCAGTTGCAATTTGGGTTTGTTTCAAACTAGGGGTACCCCAAAACATGTTGTTTGCTGCTGTTTGGTGTCTCTTTTGAACCCAACAAAAGGTACGCTCAAATCGAAACAAGAAAACACACAAACACTCACTCACTCACTCACTCATTCACTCACGGACGGACGGACGGACAGACAGACAGACAGACAGGCAGGCAGACAGACAGACAGTGTGTACATATATATGTACCAGTCCCTGGGCCACGTACCCCCCCCCCCCCCAATGGTATGGTCCCCCCATTCCCCCGCATCATCCGCATCTTGGGGATGATGCTGGCAATGCTGGGGATGCTGTCCAGTACCGTGCGAGCCCTGCAGCTTCGGTCCCAGACCCCCTTTCACCCCGTGAACCAACACCCCCGCACCTCTCGCAACATCCTACCCTAAACCAAACCACCCTGCAACCCCTCCTTAACCCCAACCCTAAGCCTAAATCAACCCAAAACCCAAACCCACCCGAAACCCACCGCAAACCAACCCTGAACCAACCCCAACCAACCCACCAAGCCTAAACCAACCCACCAAGCCTAAACCAACTCCGAACCACCACCCCAACCCCCAACCCCCCACAACCACCAACCACCCCACACCCCCCCAGGGGGGGGGGGGGGGGGGGGGGGGGGGTCCACGGCCTGGAACATATATATATATATATATATATACATGTGTAACACATACATACATACATACATACATACATACATACATACATACATACATACATACATACATACATACATACATACATACATACATACATACATACATACATACATACATACATACATACATATGCATGCATACATAAATACATGCATGCATGTATGCATACATACACATCTACATCTACATCTACATATATGTATATATATATATATGCTTATATGTGTATACATACACACTTGCTGGCTGTTTGGAGTGCAACCATGCCAGATTCTCTGGGCCGAAGCCCGCGTATGAAACGCGTCATGCGGTTTGCGCGGAGGCGAGTACGGGTCGCGCCTGATGCGGAAAGAAAAGAGGCTTTGCTTTTTGCCGCCGGCCCTACCGTCGGATACTCAGTTGTTCAGTGGTTTTCCTCTTTTTTTTAGTGGCTGCCCCACTAAAAATGGTCTTCCCCAAAAAGGGTTCCCTTTTTTTCCAGGGTCACTGAACAACTGAGGATACATGTTTGGACATCACCTTGTTTCACTCTAGGCTAGTTTTTCTTGGGGCTGAGGGGGACTATAGGGAGCCCTGTTTTGTGCCTCCTCTTAATGGCGCATCATTATTCCTCTTTGACAATCGTGTGTGTGCCAGTTTCAGTGTGGTTTTAATTCGCCAGTGGCATATTATTTGTTCTTTTAAGGATACCTAGGAGTGGCATGACCTGTCCATTGCAACTTACACACGATGATATTCTGGCCTACATGATATCGCTCTGTCTTGGTACAATAGAGTTTTTAAGGACACCTTGTAAATCACAATCTTTCAAAAAGTTGATTGGAGGAAGGGTACATGACGACTGCGGTTCAGCTATGTCTTGGTTTGAGAGAGCCTACCTGAAGTGACTAGTTCAGTCTGGATGATCATTGCGCTAGGAGATCTTCAAACTAGGAGAGCCCCAATACTTGTCGTTGTCCTTCTGATTTCTCGTTCAACCTGCCTCATAAAAGGGCCCCAACTCAAAGACAAGTACGCAAGCTCCCTTGAGGGTTTGCAGTTCAACGCACATCGCACGCAGGAGAAGAAGATGGCGGATTTGTCCATCCTGGCCTTCTCCATGATTGTGGGCGCCGTCGCCAGGCAAGTGGAAGTTCATTCGTCCCTACGTTCACTCACCTGCCCAAAGAGAATCGACCGGATCTGACCCTTTGCTTTTCCCCTGTTCCATTTCTAGTCATGGCTCCAAAAGGTCGGCCCTGAATATCTACGATGTGCAGGGGAAACAAAGGATTCGGAGTGCCAGACTCGGGGCTCCCCAAAAGTTGGCATGACTGGCTCCTAGATGACCACCCCCTTGGCTCAAATTGAGAAAAACGGTTTCCTCTGGCTTCTCAACGGTTTTCTTCTGTTTCTACAATGTGTTCTGAATGTTTTCCCTTCGATGGCGTTTGTTATTTGCTTCTTGTGTGGTGCCAGTGGTCGGCTGTCGCAAAGATCGGGTCATTGACGGAACGGACGTGGAATCTGGCGCAAACAAGTTAACTGACAAAAGTGCTGGTTTGTTCTCAGGGGGAGGCCATAAACCCTTTAAAAGATCAGAAAGGACTATCATCGAGGCGCATTTGTGTTGTCTACTTTTTGAGGCAAATACATACCACAAGTTCAACTTCTAGAGTTAATATCAACACCTGAAAGGATAAGTTGGCCACATGAAACCTGATTTCAAAACACATCCTTTTGTTTGAACAGCGAGCGTTTGAAGTTGGGAGAACTCATTTCCCAAGGGTTTCCAAAACGAGTAGTTGTTTACCCATACTCTGGGCGGAGCAAAATCCGTGTCGCACCAGTTGCGATGGATGGAACCCTGTTAATTCTAGTTGACAAGCCACCTAACCTGCTGCAGAATCTTTACCCCGCAAACATTAAGATGAGCCAACTGCCAACTGGTTTGAACTGGATTTCGTCCATCCACGGTACATATGGTGTTAACCAAACGGAATGACAATCATTGGAGAGGCCAGTTGGGATGGATGAAGCCCTTCACTAAATAATAAAGCACCTGACAATGCATATTCCCTTTAAATATCAAAGAAAAGGGGGGTCCATTTTGAGAAACTCCCATAGTTATAGTCATTTTCAAGGAGTAATTTAGTAGCTCCTAAGAATCTACAAAAGGTGATCGACCTTCAAATCCCCCCCCCCCCCCGCTCCCGTTTCCTCGAGCTGGGCAGGTCTCCGGTGCTGGCGACTTACCGCCAGCACCCCGGGCTGCAGCAACGGCTCCGAGACTGCCAGGGGCTCAGCTGGCGGCTTGAGGTGTTGACACGTTCGAGAGGTTGGGGGGGGCAGGGGGGTTGCAGGTGGTAGTGGGTTGTGGGCTGGGCTGTTGGGTTGTTGGACTGTTGAGCTGGGTTGTTTGATTGTTGTTGTTGTTTTTCCATGGCCGCAGGTGTCAGCCCATGTCCTCGAACCCTTCGACATTGCAGTGCAACAGCCTCCTTAGGGAAGATGCATACTGTGGACGGTGAGGTTTTGACACGTTGGAGAGATTGGGTTATGGGTGGTAGTGGGTTGTGGGTGGTAGTGGGCTGTGGGTGGTTGGTTTGGGAGGGGATTTGGATGGGTTGACAGGGTTCTTTTGGGGGGGGGGGTTGGAGGGGCACCGCTTTATCACTTTTTGGGAACGAGCAAGTGGGAAGGGGTGATTTATTTCGAGCAGGGAGCAAATGGAGAGGTTTCCATGCACCAGCGAGGTATGTCACAGGCAGATGGTGGTTCGGTTCGCCGCGTCAGCGAAGGAGCAGCAGGGTAATGGTTTTGAGAAGTATGGAAACCAAGAAGGGACTGTGTGAGTGTGTGTGTGTGTGTTTGTATCTGTGTGTGGGTGTGTGTTTAAAAATTCGACCCCCGCTACCATTAAGCACTCAGTCTCTGAATTGGGGTGTGCTTTGCTCCAGGCCGAGTGGACTTGAGCTTTGCCCTCCATCGCGGATGGGCCATTGAGGCGGGGGAGCTGAGCTGGGCCGGATCGATCCGAGATCGATCCGGATGGATTTGGCCGGTAGCTTGTAGTTATTTTACCACCTTGTTGACCTTCCCTTTGCTTAGGAATATTTGTGTTATTTCCCCTGTTGGTTTTTGAAGGGAATCTATCACTGCTGGAAATAGTTTCTGGGTCTTAACCAAATGGACATGACCCATTTAAGCTGAGTTCCCCGGGTGACGTTTGATGGGGAAATATAGGGTACCCTGTTTGCTCAGGTAGCTTTTAATTTGTGGATTGGTTTGGACTGGGATTTGAACCCCCTGGTCCTTGCAGAGGGCAAATTATAAACTAGCTCCACCAATGCAAATAAAAACTCAAAAGACAGACACGTGCGCCCGGATGGATCCCCTCCAAAAAATAAAGAACCATTTGCTGTTGCTCTATAAATCGGGATGAAAAGCTCCAGAGGTTCTTGAACATGTTCTGTTCAGTCAAGATATCATGTTGGCTGTTTCTGAAGGTTCATTCCCCGTGTCATTTGCTGGGCTGAACCAATTGATTTGTTGTCGAAGCTGGGTACCAGCATCCAGTTTTACATGGGCCGGAAATCATGGCCTCGCAGCCCCCCTCTAGATGTGAGACGATTTCTCATTGTCGGGATTGGGAGCCTGCCGCTCGCAAAGAGACAAGGCCCACAACCCTGCCCTCAGTGGGAATATGGCGATGCTCCCACTCAAAGTGGCCAATCGCATTTTGAAAGGCAGGGTGCCGCGGGTTTGATCAGTTCCTGTGCACTGTTTAGGGTTGTCGATGTTTATCCAATGCCAAGTTGTCCTTCGCAACCTGGTTGTCCTGGGAGTTGGATTGCATTGTGACAACCTGGGGCTCCAGAATGAGGTCTGGGATTTGGGGGTTGACTCCCCATTCTCTTCACCCATCCTTCTATTTAGAAGCCACCCATGTCCCCACAAGTTTGATCGATGTTTGAATCAGATGGAGCCCAGGGAGCTGTTGGCAGCGACTTTAAGATCGATGCCTCGTACATCTCACCCAATGCCCGGAGCCTAGAACTCGTTTTGCAAAGGCCCTCCTTTTGCGAATCTCAAGTTTGTCTGATTTTTGTTTTTTGTTTTTTTTGTTTGAAGTTTGTTTTGTTGAAGTCTGTTTTCTTTGTTTGTTTGATTTCTTTTGGTTTCGACGGGAAACGTGATGAACAGCAAAACAATCCCGTGTTATCTGGGACATTCCTTGACCGTGTATCCTGTGGCTGCTTCAGTAGGCAACTTACTGCACCTACAGAGGCGCGCATAGTCAATTCTGCTAGTGCCGCTTTTGACAAAGAGAACGGGAGTGATCACAAGAGGAGCCCGCGTACATCCACAACCGAGCCATGAGCAAACCTGGACAGTTGAAATTCGGGGGACAGTCCCAGACAGGAATAGGTGCGTATCACACCTTTCAATTCTGCACATTGTGGCAACACTCTGTCGATATTGGGTAATTATGACTCAAATCAGTGTTTGTTGGGTTCCTTCTCTGTGTCAGAGTCAAAACGATGCAGCTCACTTGGTTGCACTTTGGTTTGACCGAACCGTTCACTGTTTGGAAAGTTGTGACAGTTTTCCGCCGACCAGCAAAAGCTGAACGTTTTGGGGGATCAGACGGACCAGCCCCGTCGCACAATGAAACCCTAAGTTTGGCGTAGATCAAGGTTACTAGGTTCAATCCCCATGAATAGCTGGGACTAGGTAGCGCCTTTTCAAGCCCCCTCACTGCTTTTGTTTGGGTAGGCCACTGATTAAAAACGCTACGAACCAGAAATCATGTACCCCACAGAGCGTGAGGTCAGCAAATTTCTAACTTGCTGGTTCTCAGCAGGGAATCAGAGAATGACCCCTTGTGAACCATCCAACTGGTGGTTTCCTTTAAGGGAATCCCCAGGTTTATTCCCAAAGCCACTTAAACAATGCCTTACAGACCAGCCCCAACCAAAATTGTTGGGCCTGAATCAAAGCCCTTGACGCACCAGATGAAACCGAGGTGAGTGTTGCCAGTAGCATCGAGCACGCAACTAGGCCGGGAGCGAGCTGGAGTGAGCTGGAGGTATGTTTTGTTGAGGGTATCCTTTTCACTTTGGTTTTGATAGGGCAAGCCGACATCTATTTGTTTAGGGTTTCTTGCAGACAAGTGTGGCGCCCCCTTAGTTGGCTCCAAAGACCTGGGGCTGGGAGCAACCCTGTTGATGGTACGTGTTTACTTGGTTTGTCAAGAAAGCAGAAATGCTTGGCAGGGGTGTGCCTTGATTTGTAGGCATGTGTTTTCTTGTTATGTTTCATTGGTTTTTAGTGTTGCACCGTGGGCCCTCTATGCTTTCCTGATTGCATACGGGACAACATTTAGCGAGGTTCCTCAGTTTAAGGCCATGCTTTTCCCAGGCTTCCCAGAATCCCTTTACCCGGTATATGGTCGTTTTGTATGGCCCTTACCCCAGGACCCAGGACATTTGTTGGCATCTGTGCTTACCGTAGCTTACGCTGGCCCATGCAGGGCTGCAATCATGGTTTACTTGGCCTGGGTAGATCCATGAAATTAAGTACCGGTTTTTGTTTTAGAATGTGTTTTGGTTTGGATAGATCCATTCAATAACGGGATTTTATCATGATCACCCAAAACTCCCAAAACAAAAGGTGGTTTTACTTGTGGCTTCCCTTTCAAGCACCAACCTGAAAGGGGGCCCAAACCCACCTGCAAGACGAGTACGCCACGCCCCAGTCCTCTCAGCTGCCGTCCAGGCAGTATGGCATCAGGATCCTGGTGTCCGAGACGGCTGGGAGGGCCCGGTACAGATGGTTTTGGCAGAGCTCAATGCGTATTTGTGTCACAAGCCGTCTTTGCAGGCATGGGCAACTACATACGTTTGGACGTCCAGGGGTGTGCGTGTTGTTTATTTGTTTATGTTATTACTCATCATATATATTTGTATATGTGTGTGTGTGTGGTGTGTATGTGTATGTGTATATTTGTCTATACATTATATATATATATATATATATATTTATATGTGTATCGTACATACATATGATTATATCACAATTCGAGACCAAACATTGTCTTTTGAGTTGAGATGTTTTGATGCGGATTTCTGCATGATGGCATACTTTTGATGGTTTGATTATTATTGCTGTGTTCTTGTAGAATTATGTTTAACGCCCCAAGAGGGTGGGTCCACCAAAGCAGCATCCACGCCAAATCCTGGCGACCAATTCAAGACAGCGATTGTCAATCACCTGCAATGGGGAGTTTAAGCAACCATTGCAATTGTTGATAGTGCGGGTGGACAAATCCTGCACCAGTTGGGAGGGATGAAACCGTATGAATACTTGATAAACCACCTACCAACTGGCGCGAAGTGAATTTTGGCTCGTACAAGAAGTAGTTTGCCGATGGCGTGGAAGCGATGTGATTTTTCATCCCAAAAGGAAGCGCCACTACACATGGGTGTTGTTCAGGTTCGGGAAAATAAAGGGATCCCTCCAAGGAGAATCCAACCTCTTCGTTTTGGGGGGGGGGGTCTTGTTTTGTTCTCAAAGAGTCAAATATTGGCAAACCCTGGTTTAGTTTCCTTGTTAATATTCGGGAGTGTAATTGTTGCTCATGTGGCACATACCCTTTCGAAGGTTGTAAGCATCACCTGTTGGTTGCCAATTCAGCAAGAGGTTTCTTTAAGTGGGGTGCGGGGTTCAGGATCCAAACATTTTTGGACCCTGTGTTCAACTGAAGTCAATGAACCCACGAGCCAAGGCTAGGGTGGGTGCCTTTCTGGCATCACTGGCCAGCACACCAAGAAATAAGCCCAGGTCTGGAAATTCCTGGAGCCCTCCTTTTGAACCCTCGCTGAAAGCTGCCTCTAACCACCCCAGAGCCTATAAAGGCCTATCGACTCCCAAAACGCTTTCAGCTGCTGGATGCTTTGAGGTCAGAGAGATCTTGAGCAAGGAGGTGAGCGCAAAGCTTCGGCTCATCGACAAGGCCCACCCACGAAATCGGTGGGGTGGCTGTCCAAGCGAAAATGTGTTGAGTAGAGTTCAAGGGATTTCACGTGTTTACTTGTTTGCCGGGCGCGCGTCGGGTCAACGTCCAGTGCCCGTGGCCCTCCCAAAAAAAAGGAAAACAATGTCATGGTGCATATGGGTGCAGGTGCACAACCAAGCATCTTGTTCTTCCCGGGGAAAACTCCAGGGGCTTTCTAGGCCAGGCTCCTTTTGGCCGACCTCATTGGCAAAGTGAGTTGCCTCCAAGTGATTCCGCATTCCTTTCGAACCTCACCCACGCATCAGGGGCGAACAGGTTTTCGTTGCCCGAAGAGGAAGCAACAAGGGTTTGAATGCACTTGCTTGTTGCTGGCCCTGCTAATTCAACACTATCAAAGTCACCCACAAAGGGAGACAACCCCAGTTTCTCACTCTAGGAACCCCCGGTTTCTCAGTCAAAACAATGACCTCACTCATCCTCGCTCTGTTTCCTTCCAGGAAGTCCGCATCCAACTCAATCCTGGTCCTTTTGCCAGCTAAGGGTTTCCGTTTGCAGTCATGTCCTACGGATTGGGGATTGGAATTCGGGATCCCTCCCCCACTATTCAGGAATCCTTGTTTCCAGAAAATTGTCAAACATTCAGGAGAGATTCGAATAATGTCTTCTACCGGAAAAGAAGAAAATTTAAGGCTTACTTTCATTTAAAGCAGAAACAAAAAGCCATGTTCTGTCCGCTTTTGGACCTTTTCCCCCGGGTGAGACATGCCGAAAGAAGCCGCAAGCGGTAGGTCACCATCAAGGGCTCCCGGGTGCCTTTGGAGCTGAGCTGTCTGGATCTCGACTTCCGTCGGGTGCAGGCGAGCCCCGAGTTCCGCGTTCAGCCGCGCCGGGCGAAAATGTGAAGGGCGGGATCTGCTCGAAACACCCAGCGTTTCTAGAGTGTGCTTTGAAAAGGCTTGACTTCAATATAGGCCTCCAGTGGGATTTGAAAAGTTTGGTTGATTTCTTTTCTAGGTCCCCCAGCTAGGTGCCCTTCTTAACCCAACTTTTTGGGTTGGGAGGGTTCTCCCCTACTAAAATAGACTACAGAAAAAAGGGTACCCTTATTCGAAGCCCTCTACTGGAGGACCTAGTGTGTGTGGCAAACATGTTTTTTTCTGTCAGGGTAAGTACTTCTATGTTTCGTCAGGGGGTGGCGTCACGCCCTATCAGACCCTGAAAACGTGGGTAGCGGGTGGAGGGGGCAAGTGGAACCCCTGGTTTGATTTGGACCTTGGGATTTTTGGAGGGAACACGCCCCTACTAGGATGGGTTTATCAATCCGGGATCGACATGAAGCAGAGCCTGTTTGACCCAGACCGATTCCCAGTGGATTGTCCCCTTTCAGTCTAAGAGAAAGCAAGCCACTGGGGGGGTCTCTGCCCAAACTACTTCACAATTTTGTTTGGTGTGTGGGCGAAGAATAGGAGGGCTTTCTCCTGTTGGTTGTTTCCGATCACAGCCCTTTTGTGGGTAGCCGGATCATTTTTGTGGGTAACACCCTGCTAGGATTGGTATACGCATCCGGGGTTCACATTAACTCCAAAACGAGCCGAGCCGAGCAGAGCGACACTCCATCTCGGAAGCAGACTTACCCACCATGATAGGGTGCGGAATCCTGTGACTCAAAAAGTAGGTACGTGCCATGGAGAACATGCACAGACTCGCTTCTGGCTGCCTTGGTTCTTGTTTTTGTTTGAAAGGTTTACTTTGATAAGATCTGCGGGTAAACTCGCGGTACACCCATACCTGCAACCCGGTTCAGTATACTCTAGAAGAAGCGAGTTGAAGCTTTTCAGGCGTATCAAGGTTACTTTGGGGAGCCAGCCCTCCATTTCATGTCATGTTGGTCCCCTGCTGAGCAAGTCTTGGCATGAATTATCATTTAGGAGCCACCTTTTCAGGTCCCAACTCTTCAAACCGCTGCCATTGGAAAGGCGCGTCACCAATCAAACGCCGGGGCCCCAACAATGCACGGTTCCCTCCAAAATCTCGGCTGGTGCGTTTTCAGGCTCGGCTCTTGTAAGGCGAACCCAAAACTGGCCACCGGAGCGGTCGACGCGGGTTTCAGGTGGAGGACCGCCCGGAGCTTCCCATTGTGTGGAACTCCCGGTATCGCTTCAAGCCCGGGACTTGAACGGCACGGTGTTGAGAAAAACGGGCCCTGGAACTGGAAAATGTGGCCCATGTTTTATTATATTCTACAGGAGTGTCTCAAAATCGGAGTCGGAAAAGCCCCCCTTTTTGATGTCAGAAATGGAAACCAAAGGAAAAACCAAGCGCTTTGGTGGATCCGTATTTTGAAAACCACCCCGCCCCCCCCCCCCGCCAACCCGCAAATGATTAAGATTCTAAGAGTTGCAGCCACCTCAGTGGTGGACATGGATTCCCACCAAATTCTGATGTTCACCAAAAGGTCCGCGACCCATTGAAATTCAAGCCCACCTTATTTTCAAGACCGGCTCGTTGTTGGCGGTTCTCGCCGCTGGAAATACAGGGGTGTTTGTTGAGGCTCGCTACCCCTTTAAAGGTTGGTCTAGAGGGAACACGGAATCCTTTATGCCCAGTATGCTGGGCATGACTTAGAGATACTCTCCTTGTGAACAAGCGATTGTAGCAGAACCCGTTGGGGAATTCATAGACGTGCTTTGAGTCTGGCGGAACTCGGGCATCCATAAGTCGCTTGTTGCGTGTTTTTTTGTGACTTATTGCAATGGCCATCATGAGAGGCCTTGCGTGATGTGTCAAGGGCATAGTCTGTCTCAAAATAGGGGAACCATACAAGTGGCCTTTTTGGGTATGAGACCCCTGTTTGTTCCTGTATAGCGACCTCTCAGGTCTTGCGGAAACCGATTCCAGTGAACCTCAAAACGGGTGTGTTTCTTTTTTCAGGGGAACCCCGAAATGTTTGCGTTCTTCGTTTGGTATCCTAATCACCCAAAGGATCTTGTCCCCTTCTTTCTTCGCTTCAGTCGACCCACTCCGGAAATCAGAGATGCTCTTGCACCTCGTTGGTCCGAGGTCCCGGCATGCCATCGAGGCGAGAGAGATTGGCCTGCGCGAAGATGGAAGCCCTGAGAAACGCTCTCCTGTCAGCTTCCAAAAGAGGATTCTGCACAACATCTGCAATTAATTGTTACTTTGTGAGGGGGGGGGGGGCGGAGGTTCGTAAAGAGGCATTCTTCACAAGATCGGCATGGTTTCTGGTGTTCTGAGCAAAATTAATTCTTCGCATTTTTTTGGTTTTTGAGGACTTTGTTCAAGATCTGCGTGTGTTGTTTCGGGTTCCAAATAGGAACTATTTGCCCGAGCGGGATCGGAAATGTTGGTTCCAAGCAGGGATCCGCGCAAAGTTGTGTTGCTTGATTTGTTGAAATCAGCCACCTAAGTAATGTACCCCTACTTAGAAGAGCCCTTTGTTAGTGAAGCAGTTACATCATATCATACCAAGCCCTGAAAGAAGTTGGTATTCGGTGCAGGGGTGGGTATGTGGAAGGGCGGGGTACCCCTAACAAAGAGACCCTTCCCATGGTTTGTCGGGCTCTTTTTTAACTTTTCCCAGTTGGAACTCCTTGGGTACAAAACATGAGGCCTACTGCCAGCGAATGTCCGAATACCCATATTTTGAGGGTTTGACAGGGCATGATGGCACCCGAAAACCGGTAAACTTCAAAGCATACCGTGAACATGTTGTTTTTTTGGAATAGGGGTGTGCAAAAGTTTCTTCCATAAGCCATCCAACTGCAGCATAACTATAGCTGTCCTGGCACGGGAGTGCGCGAATGTGAACTTCTTGGAATTCGGTATGTCACTGGGCAGACGAAGTCCGCTGTAGCGTTTTAAGATGAAGAATGAGCGTGGAAAGCCGGTAGATAGAGTGCTGTTTGTGGGTAACTTGAATCACCAATTTGATGTTTCTGCCCCCAAGATTTAGGTTGAGGGTCTTTCGCTTGTGAGGCAGGGTGTTCCTTTCCCTGGCAGGCTTGCGTTGCTTGCCACTCTTTGCGGGTTCTCAAGCAAACAAATTCTGGGGGTTTTGGGGCTGAACCATTTCGGGATCCCCACAAACAAGCACCGCTTGGACTCTTCTTGGGGTCCTTCCTTCCCTCACTTCCTGCCGAACCATACCCAATGCTTACCAACAATTCCGTCTCCAAAACAAGTTTAGACCAAATATGAACCCGAAGATGGACGTCAGGTTTTCCGTGTGTGTGTGTGTGTGCCAGTTTGTGTCAGGTTTCCCTTGGTGTTCTTTTCCCGTAGCATCCTGGGAGCAACCGGTTCATTTCGGGGGGAGTGTGACATCGCGCTTAGGTCTCCAAATGAGGGACCTCTAAAACGGCGGGTGGACCCGTGGTTTCCCTCTAAAACCATCCCCTGTTCAGGGGACTCTCGAAGCCTGCGTCTTGATCAGACCCTTGGGGACGGGAATGGACCCGGAGAATTTCGACCGTTTGGATTCCTATGAAGGGAACCACGAGCAAAACTCCCGCTCGCCTGCGAAAACGGATGCGGGTTTCATGGGCTCAGCCACTGGAGTAGCTACCTCTTGTGCTTTACCCATACTGTGGATGCAAAATCCGTTCGCACCACCTTTGAATCCATGGTTGAAGCCATAACGTTTGTTGGAATGTACAGGGGAATCATCATTCCAGGGCTTCTTAGGTGCTGCAGGATTCCGTCCACCCACTGTATGATCATAGTTGGACCGCAAGTTTGATTTGCGTGTTCCAAATTTCCCCAGGTGGACTTCTCCGTCTCAATTTCGCCAGGTTCGGAAGAACCATCTCTGGACTGACCAATTCTCCAAGGCTTGGTTGGTCGGTTGGGTTTGTGTTGCCAATATATTGTTCCGTTCTCGTCTTTTGGGAGCTTCCTCTGAAAAGCAGGAAACCACAAAATGAAACTATGGTTGAAACCAGAACGTGCGTTGGCATTTACAGAAAAATCATAATAAACCAGGGTTTCTGAGGTGGTGCACGATTTCACATTACGTAAAACCCTGACTCGAAGAAGAGGCATCTACCAACCGCAAAAATAAATAAAAAAAAAAATGTTTCCGAAAACCATGGGTCAAAAATTGAAAGGGGTCCAGCTGCAGGAGTTAGATGGGATTGTAGTCACGCCTACAGCCACTGTAGCAAAGTCAATTGATTTGCACTGTTTGCTTTTTTATCGATTTTCCGTCCCCTTGCGATGAAAGGCCGCGTTGGGTTTTGGCTCATGTATTTGTTTTGTGTTAGATCGCGTTATTTGCGAGGGCCAAGCTCAAGAACAAAAGACCAAACCACAAGGGTGGAAAGTTGCTAGGAGGGCCGAAAGTTGGGCGAAAGGTTGGTACTTGTGTCAAGTGTGCAGACCCCCGCGCGGAAATTGCAAAACACGGGAACCAGGATTTTTGGTAGTTCCCCTAGACTCATTGTTGGACCTGTTGAGGAGCGGCCGTAGGTCACCACCACTCATGATAGTGGTTCCACCTATGAAGGACACCTTCATGGGAGCTTGTGTTTTTTTCAGGTGGCGGAACTGGCAAACATGTTGCAGAAAGCAGCATCCATGATGGCAAGCTTTGGGAGCAAGTTACCCATGGTCCTGTGGCTCGTTTCCTGAAGACCCCTCGAAACGATTGTGTTGTCTTTCGGAGGCTCCCAGGTCCAAACAGCAGCTCGTCCGGACGCAAGGTTTGGGATGCTGTTTGTGAGTGTCCATGTCGGTTGAAAGTTAGACACACAGCGCTCCAAAGCTTTCAGAAGTTTGCAGTTTCCATCCGTTCCCAATCCGAACCAACGGCTATGAACGATGGTCACCTAGATTTGTTAGTCCTCATAACCTTTCTATGACCCCCAGAGCTTTTGCCTGAGTTCTGAGTTCGCCCTTCTGTTCGGAGCTCCTTGCCCAATCCGCAGGCACACATCATGAATAAGGACCGGGGAGGGGTGGGGGTGGTGGGGTGGGGGGAGGGTGGCGCGGGGCGCATCGGGGGGCAGGGGTGTGTAGGGGAGGGTGCTTCGGGGCGGGGTGGGGGGTGGGGTGGGCGGGTGGTGTGAGAATGCCACTTCAGTAGGACCAATGGATGTCTCTGGCAAACAATCCTGTAAACGCTGTATACCTCTGAGCGCGCCGCAAGGGGTATTATCACTGCTGCAATATCTGCATGTGCAAAGCGAGAAAGAGCAGTGAGAAAGAAGGGCCCTTGAGCCAATCTAGCGGAGTGAGGTTGTGTGGGGCTCAATGACTGTAAAAACAAGCACAAAACAGACACAAATTTCTTTTGAACACCCACATCGAATTCCTGTCTTCTGTTCAAGGTAAACTTGGCTTAGCCCTGTATGCCGTAGCCTTCAAAGTTAGAACCGTTTCGTCGTAGTCACTTTTGTGGCGCGATTGGATTGTCTGTCTAGCAACAGGAAAATATATACAAAGCGCAACGCATGTTCAAATCGATTTCGCACACATGATCGGAAAGCAAAAGAGGCACCTAATCGTACCTGCAACGTCGCATCTTCTTTGCTTGATGCGTCCTAAAAAGCAGAGGACAGGATTGTCCAATGTGAAACTATCGATTCTCTCACTGCATGAAATAGTCTTGTAGACGAAGAGGTTGGTGTTGCAATAAGAATAGTCTCGTCGTCGATGAGGCCAGCCTGAGGAGGCATCGCCACTTGTACTTGCAGCTCGTGGTAGCTGCTATCTGATGCTGTTCCAGAGTAGTCTCACCAGGATTGATCTGATTGTTCGGATCAACTACGGATGTATACCAGCAGCGGGAGGTGCGAACCAGCGTCGCATGTTGCATTCCTGAACATCTTGTTCGTGATATGTTTGAATCTCTCGGCTGAGGAAACCTGATAGTCGGCGATGGTGAGGAGGTTGTCGACTTCGAACTTCGACTGAGTTGTACTCCTGCTGTCGGAATGCTTGTTGGTCGTCTCTCTTTCCCCAGCCGAACACTAATGTGAGTCGGAACCAGTCTTTGTACACATCTACATGTGCAAAGTGAGAAAGAACAGTGAGAAAGAAGGGCCCTTGAGGCCGCAAGGAAGTCAGGCGCTTTCAGTGAAACCGGGAAACCTTTGGGGCTGCTGCTCGCTCAGTCACACTTGCGCGATCGCGCGTGCGTGCGTGCGTGCGTGGGTGGGGGGGTGGGGGGGTTGGGTTGGGTTGGGTTGGGTTGGGTTGGGTTGGGTTGGGTTGGGTTGAGTTGGGTTGGGTTGGGTTGGGTTGGGTTGGGTTGGGTTGGGTGGGTGGGTTGGGTTGGGTGGCAGCTGCAACCTGCAGCCGCTGGATATGTGGCAGAGCGCTCTTGGCACAGAGTAATGTGTCGGATAAGATGAGCATGCCTTTGAAATGGAACAGCCAAACTTTGAGCAAACGAAAAAACGACTGCCATGGATAAAAGCTGGTCGAACTTATTTCAGGCGCCCGATTCCACCAGGGTTTCGGTGCTGCCGGTGGTGGTTCCTGCTTGAAATGCCACCGCCTTCCGTCATTGCCATGGCCCGTGTAAACCACCCCCAATTCTTGTCGGTACAAGGGTAAGAACAAAGTAGATGCGCAATTTTCTTGATGTAGGTACGCAAAGGGGACAACCACGCCAAAGCGCAAAATCACCCCCGCAACCATCCCTATTCAAATACATCCTAAGGGTGGAAACGTCAACTATGCAACAGAGCACTATCTAGCTGATTGCAAAAGCGCCAAGGGGATCGATTTCTCAGAGGTGCGATCCGATAGGTGACGCCGACTCGGATCTCGAATGCCGACTCCAGGACCCTCACTTCCAGGAGATGCGCACGGAGTATACCACCGTGTTCATGCAGACCTTCAACATGGGGTACCCTACAGAGGGGCGGGGGAGAAAATCCTTCCCTCAAAAAACCCTCAAACCTATCTGTTTGTGTTTTACGCTGGTGTGGGATGCGCCACAAAACTGATTCCCCAGCAACATCCATTACTCATGTGAGCAAAATATCATCTCTAGCCTGTTGGTTTAGTGAGGCATAGGAGGGAGAACCCACGAAAACCAGGGCGCCCACCCAAGTGTTGTCGCAAATCAAATTGTCAGCGAGCACTTAAAACAAAATTGTAGAGATTCAACTTTTGTTTTTTGGGGAATGTGTGTATTTTCTACGAACCAAAAGAAAGTGAGACTTTTGCACCCGGGGCAAAAGCCAAAGAGCGTCCTTTTAAAACCTAGAGGTCCACACAGATCTCTGAGAAACTGCGTGGTTCTTTATGAGCTACAATATTGGGTTAGAGAGTGCACACTTGGATGACCAGCCCATTTAGTAACATTTAGGAAGCTGTTCGGAATGGAAGTCCAGTAAAACCTAATGTCTGTTTGGGGTCTCCCGTTTTCATACAGGTTCCTCACCCCCCTTATGAAATCGGACAGGCTCTACTTCGATTTGGGGTCACTGCCCAGAATGCGAAAGCGCCTCGAAATGGTAGCCACGCAATCCAGTGAGTTTCTTATTTTACTTGCTAAGCTGTTCAGAAAACAGAGCATCTTCAGATACCTGAATCGAACGGCCTTCCCTTGGCGCATTCGCAGGTACCAGAACTACTCCCAGGGAGAGTGGCAAGTTGCGAAGAACCTGCTCACCAAAACGCTCTCCATGCGGGGGGAGAAGGCTGGCGCAGTTGTCGCGGACCCAAGTCTATCTCAACCTGCTTTGCCTTCCAAAACTTACAAGGCTTCTCAAACCTCACCTCCTGGCCCAATTGCCAATGTTGAGGGACTTGTCCAAAGCCAAAGCCTCAAGTTGCTGATTTTTTGTGGCAAACGGAACCGAAGTAAAAGTGCAGCTTTGAGAGTTGTGGGACTTCAACCGACAGGGTTGAAGAGCGTGGGGACGTTTCAAGGATTTGCCCTGGGAATCATGGGACTTGGCATTTAGGCAGATCAGCACGCGTTTGGCGTTTGTAGACTCTTTAACCACCAAACTGCTAATGCAAACCGCCAATCAGAGGTCGCTACATCCCCAACTTTGCATTGAATCAGTGTGCTGGCATCTGATGAACGTGATCGTGCGCACCTGGACTCACAACTCGAGCCCTTCAAGTCCGTGGACTGGGACAGGTATCGAGCTCTGGTTCTCTTCCAATTCAAGCGACATGGGTTCCATCATGCTGCTCTATAACTTGGGTGTTGCCGCGAATCCCTCGCGAGGATCAGACCGCGTAGCTCACTTTCTGTGCTTATGTTAGGCACTAGATGTGCTCCAAACTTGCCTTTGCAACCGTGTTCTATGTTTCCCCGTTTGGCGGCTATAAATATCACTTGTTGGACAAAATTACAGTGAGTTTCCTTTGGGATATTGTTCTAGGCAGCCCCAAAACCGCGAGCCTCAAAGACACCCTCGTTGTTTCTGTTTGGTTGGGTTTCCTTTGTGTTTTCCTGTAAGCCAACCCAAGGAGGGCGTCCACAGAAAGCACACATGCGGCCATTTGGAAGACAATGTTGGAGGTTCAGAAGCAGATCGCCCATTTGCAACACCTTGAGACTTAGCAGAGCGTGGAAAGCTTGGCGGACAGAGTTCAACCCATGTTCATTTTGGAGAAGCTTAGTTTCTCACTTCCCTTCCAATGCACGTTGAAGTATTCGGGAAGATCCTTTTGGCGACAAACAAGATGCTTTGTCCCAACCAATCCAGTTTCCTTTGCGAGAGAAATGCAGCGGTTGATTGGCGGAAGACAAATGAGCGCCCACCGATTCTTATTTGCATTTTTAAGTGGTTCTACCTGGTATAGGGATTTGTGGCAACTTCTAGAAAAAGGGTATGTTGGTAGAACCAACAGTCAGCTCGGGTTCTGGGGGGGGGTTCCCTTGAGACCGCTGACAACCTCAAAGTTCGGCGAGTCGCGGTCCGCAGAGTCTTCGGTACAAGTTGTTGCCTTCGCCAGGATGGGCCCAGCGAGGCGTTGCTCAGATTCATGGAGAAGGACAACTTCAAGGCGCCGATGCCACACACGCAGATCAATGTAATAAGCACAGATATGTATACACGTATGTGTATAAGTATGGGGTCTCCTCTACATAGATACATACATACACATACATACACATACATACACATACACACACACATACATACATGCATACATGCATACATACACATACACACACACATACATACATGCATACATGCATACATGCATACATGCATACATGCATACATGCATGCATGCATACATGCATCCATGCATGCATGCATACATGCATGCATGCATACATGCATACATGCATACGTCATGCATGCATGCATGCACGCATGTATACATGCATACATGCATGCATGCATGCATACATACATACATACATACATATCATTATATATATATATATATATATATATATATATATTCTACACTGTATCATAAAGAACATGCATTAGAAAATTATTTGATTTGTTCGGTGGTTTCAAGGGCAAGCTAACACTCCTTTCCTTACTGCAAGATATTTCATGTTTTCCAGGGCACTTGAGCAGGCAACACATATGCATACATCTGACACGAAGGTGAAGACATTGGGTCCACAAGGTATGCTTGGTGTTGGTGGAGTGCGTTCACTAGAAGATCAAGACAGTGGTATGACGCTGTTTAATCGCAATGCCATTGTTGTTTGATAATAGAATGAATATGCACCGTGGCTCATATAATGGTGAGGTCCGAGATGTGGGGGAGATTTTGTAAGGAGCTCTAGCTAACCTTAAAAAACATTAAGCACTCTAGCTCTCAACTACTTGCCCGCTTGTACCTACCCCCCAGCAAGGGATTCCAACAAAAGTGGAAACAGACTCTGAACACCATCTTGCTGGTGTACCCTATTTTCATGGGCCAAGAATCAAACCGAGCGGCCGGCAGGCGCCCGATGGTTGGCGAGGCCTGCCGAGCTTGGGAGCGGGTGGGGTCAAAGGGGGAGGCCGTACTGGCAAAGGGGTTTTGAATGGATCTCATACTTCCTTGTGGTGTATCTGTTTATATTTTCCTGTTGTTTTTGAGGGGAATCTATCATTGCTGGAAATATGTCTTTTTATTGGGGACTTCAGACAGTGCAGGCATATTAAGGAGGTTCGGTTACAGTGTCCAGCAGCTTGTCCAATATAGGGTGACCAGATTGCCTATTCTCGCACAATTACTTTGCTCCAACCGCGATCTTCTATCAAAAACAGCCTTTGAGTCAGTCCATCACACCTGTCGCATCTCTTCGAAGCAAGAAACACACGCAGCTGCAAATCATGAACTCGACGGAAAGCGCATGCCCGTTCTGCCATTTTCTGTCCACCAAGCCGTGAGTGAGGAATTGTTCTCACTAGGAAACCGGTGTCTCGCTGGAAAAAACAGACATGTGAGATGTTGCCAGCTCCAGAAGAAGGTGCATGTACTTTGATGTTCATCCAGATGTCGGTGCGTGGCGATCCAAGTAGCAAAGTGTTGGAAGAAACTGATCGTGATGCTGTTTGTTCAGACAGAGTAATGGTAAAGTCCCACTCCCCGGAACATATCTGCGCAATGCCTGGCAGCCACTGTCCAACAGCACCTGGTGAATGAGCCATGGGCGGTTCAAGACATGACTGCTTCCTTTTTGATGCTTTCCTTTAAATTGATCCAAGTGATTGAAGACAGAGCATGAATAATGAACGTCTTGGGCATTGTGGTGATCATTTGATATCGCAATATTGCCCGCACGAACTGTGACATGGGAAGACCGCAGAAATGTAAGCTACTCAGCAGCCCGCAACGACTGCTTTTTGGACAGCAGGCGGGTTTTTGAGGGGTTCTCAAGTTTCTTTTGGGCGGGGGAAGCGTGTCAATTTCGACGGTGTGACTTGGCCCAGGTAAAGACAACAACCCAAAAGAACACCGGAACCGTGTCGGGAGAAGTCATGCCCCTCGAGCTCGAAGCAAACAATCGCTTCCTCCCAAAGGCATCCATTCGCTTGCACCCGAGCCAGGCATCCATGCGCTGGAGGAGGCGTAAAAGAGGCACCGCAGATTTCACGTGCGGCTCTCTTGCAATCAGAGTCAATGATCACAAAGCTGCCGCACCCGCGTGACAGTGCTTCATTCACAACAGCTTACTTCGAGCGAGTGGGCCGATGCAGCATCCAACAAAGGTAACGTCTAAATGTCGACCCCGGATTCATAAACCTTTGTGTTTAAATGGCGATCCATCTAACAGGGATGTTTTCCTTTTTCGTATTGATGAATCCGGGATCAATGTTAGAAATGCAGCAATTGAGCGAAAGATCTCCCGAAGGACCTTTGCGTCCTTCTGTTTCACTGTCTCACTCCAATTCAGAGTCTCATCACAAATCTACGAAGGGATTGGTTGCAATTATCTAAAGAAAAAGGAAGACTATGTATTAGAGCCTCCGGCTCATTCCGCCGACTTTTGCTGCGGTGCTTGAAAAAGTGCTGACATGTTCTTTGATTTTGATCATTGAAATATGCTCGATTTTGATGACTGGTATATGTTTGATTTGGCTTGGTATACACGCATCACACACATATCACACACACATCACACACACTTACACACACACACACACACACACACAGACACATCATCACACACATATCACACACATATCACACACACACACACATCACACATTACACATCACATCATATCAACGATATTACTACATTTTTGCTAGATGGGGCATAACTAAAACCTGCATAACGACATTCATAGACAGAAAGCCATTGCGCTTTCTACTGCTGAGCAAATTTAACGCTGCAATATCCATTGCTTGTAACCTGTTTTAGTTGATAAAAAGCTTTTTTGTTGGTTGGAGAAGCTAAATGCAATGTCGTAGATATGATGACTAAACCCCTTTTTAGGCCATGCATTAGTTTGCTATTGTATTGCATTGTGTTGGAGCAATTGGCCAACATGAAGCAGTCAAGCTGCATTTGAAGAGCGTGATTAGACGAGTGCAGACGGGATTTCGGCATCTTAGGTAGGAAGAGCATGACATTGTCCAAGAGCTTGTTGAGTTGGTTTTGCTAGCAGCCTTTTTATTCGTGGAGCTGTATATGGGCGCTAACGTGCTCCAAAGCTTCCACCGCCCCTTCCCTGCTGCGCAAGAGGTCATGGAATAGTGTAGAGGTGGCGTCGGCAAATTATGGAAATTCCGCCACTGCACCGTGGCTGCTTGGAAGTAATGCCTTTGTGACGTATAGCAGATTGAGTCGCGTTAAGCCATGAGTCAAAGTTTCCCCGACAGTAGTGGAGCATCACGCCATTTTGGATGCCATCAGCTCTTTGTTCTTAAGAATGTTGATTACCGCCCCGGACGTCCCTGTTGCGTGCCCTTTGAACGGCTCCTGCCACACCAGCCATCGACTTTGAGCTGCTGACCTGGAAGTCGTTCCAGTGCCGCGTTCCGGCGCAACTGCTTTTCGGCGCGTCGCAGATGCGCGTACACAAAAACACGCGCAGCTTGTGAGTGCCACAATCGCTATGCCCAACGATGATGTGATAGCATGAGCACGAAGGTTGACTTGGAAGAGCGCTATTCGTTGAACAGATGCAGTTCCGTGAGTATTTAGCGAGGAAAATCCGTCGATGTTTTGCATTGACACACCGCCACATGGTGGTTGTTCTTATGCTCAAAAAGGAATGGTAACATGCCAGTCATATTTGAGGCGGGGTGCTAAGAATGTAGCCCCCAGCAACACGTTGTGCACTCATTGCATAATATTCTGCATGAATCATTGGACATGATTGTTGTACAGTTGCGCATGGACATGTTTCACATATAGTATGGATTCACGCGGCACCAGGAAAAGCCAAGCGACCATATGCATGCACAACCCGCAAACACCAAGCTGCATGAGTCCGGCAGTTGTTGCGCCCATGCTGGGGGACGATCAGCGTGATTCAGTTGATCATGACGGCATCTTCATCCAGATTACGATAAATTGTGAGGCGCACAACACCGACATCAAATCCGCCATCAACACCCTGAAAGACGAAGAGCTCATCCGGCCCTCAAAGTGGTTGGAAGACCATCTCCAAACGGAGATTGCACCAACTGGAATGATGTGTGGATCCCGCCGGTGGGCACTGCAGAGGGAGCCTTCAGACCAGCAACGCTGTGTGAATCTGCTGCCCAGATTGGAGGATACGCTCAATGTTTCCTCTCCGCGTAGAAGGCAAGCCACAGCAAACATGGGAGATAAAGCTTCGGTCATTGATTGCGGTTTCCAGCTATGCGGGATGTTTTGGCGACTACTCCTGGCAACCTTGTTGCATCACCGTCAGCGGGCGCCTCCTTGCAGGTGAGGTTTCCAGCAGTTGAGTTTTTGTGGTCTCAATTATGACGTTTCCTGCTGATCGGAGTGATCTTTCATGAATTGACGCGTTCCACCGTCGGCGAACCATCCAAATGGAAGAAGTTCTGGCAGGAGCTCCGCATTGGGAGATCTCCGAAATGAGCACAGAATGCGATCTATTTTTGAATATGCTGCTGCTCAAGTTCCTCATGGAAACCCAGCACCATACAAAGATTCTTTGGGACATTTCCCATGAGTCAACATCTTGTTCCTGGAGAAGCTTCTTCTTCACAAACACTCAGTAACCACAACGATTCCAAACGCTCGTGCTTTGAATCCCAAGCTTGTATGAACCCTTTTCAAGAAGGTCAACTCATCACCTTCCTCGGATTCGATCCACGTGGAGAGTGTGCTTGTCATTCAAGGGCATTAAGCACATCCAAGGCCAAAGGCTTTCCAGCAAACAGCATATCGTCTACACGCACAAGAATGTCCACGAGCCAAGTTGGGAATTATGGATTCTTGATGTGTGATGGATGGTCTGTGATCGTCCTTGATTCAGAGTCAGGGAGGCGCTACCCCACCCCACCCCACCCCACCCCACCCCACCACCACACCACCACCAAACCACCACCAAACCACACCACACACATATTGCACACACACCACACGCATCACACCACCACACACATGACACGAACACACACTCCACATACCCCACACAAGAGCGCCCGTGGGGCTGGGCTGGGCTGGGCTGGGGTGGGGCGGGTAGGGTGGTCGTAAAAGCAAAGGCAGGGCGCAAGCCCAGGGGGGCGGCAGGCAGCAGAAGGGCGACGCGGGCGAGGCGAAGCGAAGCTTGGAAGCGAAGCGGCAGAGGCGGCGGGGCAGCGGAAAGTGGGCAGAAGCGCGAAGTGGGGTGGGGTGGGGTGTTATGTGTGTGGTGTGTGTGTGTGTGTGTGATGCGTGTGGTGTGGTATGATGTGGTATGTGGGTGTATTAATATATATATACGGAAGAATGATAGATTTACCATGTTATTATTTATGGTTAAAGGAATAGGGGATATAATTTTATGGTGGTGATTTATGTTAACGAAAGTAAATTTGATTTAATATAAATCATGTATTTATTATTGGAATAATATTTATATTTTTTAATTGAATTCGAAAATCTATTAATTTGTTTTTTTTATTAAACCCTAAGGATGTATATTTTTTGGAATTTCTTTTTTTGGAATTTGTATATTGGATTTTGGAATTGATATTTGTTAGAAAAAAAATAATATTATTATATTGAATAATAATTTTTAAAAAAATGATGTGTTGTTTTATTTATTCTTTATTTTGTTTATTTTTGATATGGTTTATTTATTTATTTTTATTGTTTTGTTTATTTGATTTATTGTTTTTAGTCTCGATATAATTTCGTTTGATGTATTTTATTTTTTTGGGTTATGACAGTTAATATAATTTATATTTTTAATTGTTATTTGGATAGGATATCTTGTGCTAAAAATGTATATTAATCTTTTTGTTTTCCGTTTTTTATTGTTATATTATTGTTGTTTTTTCCCCTTTTTTTCTCGAGTGGATTAGGATATTTTATATATACCTTTGTTTGATTCTTTTTTATTTATTTTTTATTTGTTTTTTATTATTATATTTTATAGTTCCTTTTTGTTCGACTTTCATTTAGCTTCGCAATATTCGTCGTCTTCGAGAATGAGGAGGATTTTCGGTTTTCTCTGATTTTTTATATTTTATAAATTTATCTTTTTACAATATCGGAAATATGGAATGATTATTTATATATACCTATAGACATGTGCCGGTTTTTGCACGTAACCTTTAATGAAATACGAAAATCTATCTATGAAATTCAGTTGTACTTGAAGGAGTAGTTTCTTTCTTGGGAGTTTAAGTGTGTGTCTGGTGTGTGTATGGGGTTATTTATATATATGATATATAAATTGGATATGTTGTTGTAAAATGTTGTAGTTTAATATTTTTAATTTATTGTATGTTTTTGTTTAAGAAAAAAAAACTTTATAAAAAATGATTTAATAATTATATATATTTAATTATATTTTATAATAATGACTATATATATTTAATTATATTTTATAATAATGAATATATTTCTATATTTTTCATGAGGAGTAGATATTTTTAGATATTCTTGAATAATTCGATTGATATTTATTTATTTTTTTAAAAGTAATTATAAAAAAAATGCAAGAAAGCGAAAAGGAAAGGGATTAATATGTGTGATTTAAGGGCAATATATGGATATAAACCAAGATTCCGAATATAATGAATCCTATAAGCGGATCAAAAACGAATATAGAATAATAACGAAAAAGAAAGGAAAACATCAAATCAAACAACATAATAAGAGCCAAATTGCACATACATATATATATATATATATATTACTCAAACCACATATATATATATATATATATTACACATACCAAAATAACATATAACACACACCATATACCCCACACACCCCACACACACACCAAACACACATTCAAACTCCCAACTACTCCTTCGAGTACAACTAATGAGTCTTGACAATGGGTTTCTGAATGTAATTAAAAGCTGCAAGCAAAAGCCGGCGGCGCAACTGGCAAATAAATACAACTACATTTATATAATTTGATTTTAAACCACTTATTTAGATATATATTCATAACCATTCCATATTTCCCCTATTGCGATAGTATCAATCAGTCACTCCGTATATATATGTCCTCAAAGAGGATCAAAGATGGACGAAATGCAAAACAAACGAGAAACAAAGAAACAAAAAAGCCCCACGTTTAGTCTCTGCGAGCAAACCCCAATCACAAGAAATCAGG